GACGCGCTGACATCCTCCCCTGTGTTGGAGATAACAATTGTTAGCAGTTGTTGAACACGTGCCAAATTGTACTACTACACTAGCAAAACTGGCCTTCAAACCTAAAATACTTGCTTTCTTTTTTTCTTTTTGCGTTTTTACCGTTTGAGCATTTTATCTTTAAATAAAATTATTAATCTTGCTTCAGCAAACAGCAAAATTTATAATTTTTTTATTGGAATCTTATTAATCGAATATCATTGAGTGGGTCGGAAGAAAGAGGGTAGAAAGTCAGAAGCCTGCTTTTCGGTACGAAGATTCGAAAATATAGCGGACATTTCGTACCTCCTTCAAAAGTGTTCCGCCTTTTTACTGCGATAGCGTCAGCGCGTTACAACCGTGCCGTTAGAAGTACCCGTGTGGTGACAAGCGTGTGTCTGGCCCAAGGAGCACGTAGCTTCCACAACACTGTCAGCTTGGAGCTACGCGGGGTGGGGAAAGCAACTTTTGTTCGAGTTTTGAGCGACGGGCTAATCTTCAAGGGTGAGAATGGCTGTGTCCGGTTGCACGAACGAGGGCCCGAGAAAGAGGGGAGTCCTTCCTTTCCGTCTTCTGAGACCGTTTGGTACAATGCGCGATTTGTGAGTTGAGCTAGGAGGAAAGCTAAGAAGGAAAATGTTGAAATTCCAAAGGGCGGCGCTGCTCCGAAGGAATCTGCTACGTCACGACCACGTAGCAAGTTCCCCAACGTTGCTAGATGACCTCCCAAATAGGCTTCGCATGCATCCACCGGGTGCACATTGAGAGATCGTTTATTTAGCTTTAAAATTAGTTTTCTTGTGCCTTTCAACGGAAAGCTGGTGTTTTTGAGGTTAGGGTGCAACATGCAACGCATTCAAGCTAGAAAATGAGCGCTGAAATTTTGTTTCCCTACCTCTTTAAATTCTGGAGCCGTTGACCTTATCACACCTTCATAGTTTCTGTTACACCTTCCGTAAACGTGCATATTAATTGTCACTATTGCCTCACCCGGGGACAACCCCTGTAGATTATCGTGCAATGCACGATCCAAAGAGTTTAAGTAAACTTCTGCTAAAATCGGTGCGACTGATGACCCTATACAAACACCTTATTTTTGTATATACTTTCTTCCTTCGTGCTCCACTACCGTTGACCTCAGATAAAACTCCAAAATTGTTAAGAAACTTCCTACCGATATACCTGAGCTCGATTGGAACTTAGCGAGATTCAGCTCCAATGCCTCCCTGACTCTCTGCATTAACCGGGTATTTTCTAGGGAATAATACAAGTCCTTAATGTCCATCGATAACACTGAACAACGCCTCCCATGATGAGTCTCCGAACTGTCAATCAAAAAAATTTGTAAGTGATAATGAATTTTCTAGGCATGCATAACACAACCGCTTTTCATGCCCTGCCCTGACCAGCAGCCGGCTGTATGTGTGTGTGTAATTTCACCAACTAAATGTGTTATTTGTATTTCAATCTTACTCGCACTAAATATGGTTTTGTTTTCAGGCACTACCTGGCGCATAGTATATGAAATTCAATATTTATTGAAAATCTAAGTACAGCGGTGGATCGTACATTTTGGGCCCACTATTGCAATATTTAGATGGTATTAATGAAGTTAATGCGAGGGTGCAAGCAAGCTAATTAAAAACTGTTTTTGTTTATTTTAGAGAATGGGAAAAACAGGACAGAATTCGTGATGTCCGTCGCCACTCTCCAAGGTTAAAAAGAAAGTAAAATTTTAATATTATATATTAGTTCGCGCCATGTGCGTTTTTTTTTTTTTTTTTTTTGCAAATATTAATGTACACGGGTTGCGCGCTGGCCATGTACAGACCACTGACACCACGAAGTGCACACACATTGCACCGCGGACACGGGCCACAGCGCGTGCCACTTCAATTTGTACGGCGACTAGTATCCCTCTCTTCGAGAGCGTGACTGGTAAAACAAGTGTCTGCAATCAAGCTGAACTCGCGCCCGCGGAAAGGAAAATCAATATTCCTTCCTGTATGCAACTCGAGGTTGCAACAGGGAGCGGGGACGCCCGATGACGTCATTTCATTGTCATTAAACGAGCCAAATGTACGCGTGATGCAACTAATACGGACACTGAGTAAAACAATTGCCCGTCGATCCGTAGCATAACCGCTACGTCCGCTACAACAGTGCAGCAATTACGAGCGCTTAATTTGTAGTTACCCAAACGACCACTAGGATAAGTGTTCCTGCAGCACGTGCGGTTTATTTATTTATCTCCTTTCTACGCTTGCCCTATTTTATTTAGGGATGTCGCGAACCACCCTAGGTTCGATTTCGAAAGGTTTCGATATTTGCGAAGCGAACTAAGGTTCGATTTCGAAAAATTTCGATATTTTCGTACCGACCGAGGTTCGATTTCGAAAAATTCGCAACTTTTGACCACAGCGGAGTTTCGAATTCGAAAATTTCGAAGCTTTCACGGTTTCCAAAATTTCGAATTCGAATATTTCGAATATTTTTTTACTTCAGGTTCGATAAATTCGAAGATCTCGAAATTCTTTGTAAAAAAAATTCGAAAACTTCGAACGGTTCGAATTTTTATAGACATGAAGTTCGAACAATTCGAAGATTTCGAAATTCTTTTTGCATAAAGTTCGAAAAGTTCGAAGGTTTCGATTCTCTTTGAACGCTAAATTAAAAAAAAAAAAAAAAAAAAAAAAAAAAAAACTTTGAGGATTTTGAATTTCTTTTTAATCCAAGTTTTCAAAGTTCGAAGACCGATTTTCAAGTTTTTCCACAGTTTCAGTTTCAAGTAACGTTTTCACGACTCACTGGTTTTCACGAAATCAAGTTTAGAAAAGTTAGGGTGTGATATCTAGATTCTGCGAAGTTGGTCAGGCAATTAAATGAGACGACGAGTGTCCCGGACGTGCTAGAATATTTGCCAGTGCAGAATTGTGACCGCCAGCCCCGGGGGGGGGGGGGGGGGGGGGGGGCGGTCTTTAACCTGCATCACGCAGTAGTGATTGCACGAACACACTGTTTTACGAGACTCATCCAGTTCGAAACGGCCAGGGGCGAGCAGGAGGTTGAGGCTCAGAAAAACCTTGAAGCGACCTGGCAAACTACCTCGCCACCCCTTGCACGCTGGTAGTAATCCGATCCGGTGAAGTTTGTAATTGTCCTGGAGGTTTATTTTCTGGGACGGAGGAATCGCCTCGCAAAAAGCACAAAAGCCGACACAACTTGAGGTCGAGGAGCGTTCTACCATACAAGTGGCGTCGGAAGAGGAAAAACGAGGGGAAAGAGGGTAGCTGGGGGGGGGGGGGCGGTAGCCTCCTTCTTCCCCTTGCAGGTATTTCGAACTGTTAAAGAAAACAATACGGGGAAAGAGGGCGTGGTCGAGCTTATTTTAATCTGCAATTATTTATGCATATGTATAGCTACTGTCGCTCTTCACTGCATAAAAGGTTGCGTAGATGGTGCTCGTCACATGCTTAGTGGTTCGGAAGTTCAAAGCTGTCTTTTCGACCTAAACACCTGTGCCGATAGTAAAAAAAAAAAAAAAAAGAATAAGTGCGGGAATAAAAAGCAGGAGAAAAAAAAAACTATCCAGAATTCGTCGGAAGTGTTCTATTCTTGCATATTCAGAGGTTCAGAACTTCGAAACAAGTTTCTTTTACCAAAATGTGTACAAGCTAAAAGAAACACGTCCCAGGAACGTGAAGCGAAAAAAAAAAAAAGTTTTCTTTTAATCACGTGCTGAACTTGAACACTATTAGAAATCTTCTCCCATGAGTTCATTTATTCCTTAACGTGAAAAAACAATAAATATATTATTTCGTATTCTGCAGATGGCAATGATATGTACTGTCTGTGGTGTTAATTTAAATGCGATACCTCAAACAACTTAGACGAAAATAAATATCAGGTTTAGGTTATAATTGCATGCAGATACATGTTTAGACATTTCTTCGAAACTCACGTTGAATAACAATAATCACATCTTAAGACGGCACTTACCTAGGCTATACATAGATCATTCTTAAAAAAAAGTATAACATATCTACCATAAATAGCTCCGGCTGCAGCGTGCTTCAAATCTGGCACAAACGATAATCGTCAAAAACCCGTCGTCCTTCCTCGCCCATCGGGGATTTATTTCTTTAAACCTAAGCATGCCAGAACATTGAAATAAACGACATTGTCTTTCGTAAGGAACGCAGCACCGCGTGTAAAAGTTCGAGAAAAAAAAATTACGAATGTACCCCACTACTTGAAATCAAATGAAACCGTCCGCCGGTCTTTCGAAGTTCGACGAACGTCGAACTTTTACCCTAAAAGTTCGAAGTTCGTCGAACTTCTGACTTTTCAGAATCCGAAAGTTCGAACCTTTTCGAATTCTCTTGATAAATAAGTTCGAAAGTTCGAAATTCATCGAATTTTTTGGTCTGTCAAGTTCGAAAGTTCGACAAGCATCGAACCTTGCAGCACAATAAGTTCGAAAGTTCGAAAAAGATCGAATTTTTTAGCGTAATAAGTTTGACGGTTCGAAAAGCGTCGAACTTCTTAGCTTAACAAGTTCGAAAATTCGACCTCCGTCGAATTTTACGATATAGACAATTCGAAAAATCGAAATCTTTCGAACCTTTCGAACCGCTTGATTCGATCATCGAAACTTCGATTCGAAAAAAGTTCGCGGCATCCCTAATTTTATTGCAGTACAACGCCGCTGAAGTAGAGAGGAAGGATAATTATGCAGGGGTGAAACGCTCCGTCGGCTTTGCCTGCGTAGCGTCAACGAAAACGCGCTTACTCTTGCGAGGTCGACAATCGATTGGAGTCGGTCACGGACGGACCTCTCCAAGCGGACGGCGAGCGCTCCTCCAGCGGAGTTCCTCGACCCTGCCAACATGGCATCACGCTTTATTCGCGTCACAAGATGGTTCGTCATTGTCGCAGTCGCCGTACGCGACGAGGGCAGCGTCAACTTGCGACCTTTTGAGGAGTACGCGAAGCGCCCTGGCGACGACGATGGCAGCCTAATCGCGCGAGCACACGGAATGGGGAGAGGAGGATGGCGTCGCTTCTCCTTCTCTCCCACGAACATCAGCAGCAGGCAGCAGCCCTCTGGTGCGAGAATAGATATGTTGATAGCAGGTTGTTTGGGTGTGAGTGTGGACCGTCTGCGCCTCTGGTAGCAACACCTGTGCGTCCACTGATCGTCGGCCCTGGGACCTTCTCGGGGAACAGGTCGCGATGTTCAAACTGGGCAGCAAGAAGGACCTCAACACCGAGTACAAATGCACCATTCGGCTGCTCGACGACACCGAAGTGCTGCAGTGTGATTTTCAGGTAGTCGCTGCGCTGGGGTCCCCGACGCTCTTACGAACTTCTTTGAGATCGCCGTGTCTATTTATTATTTGTTCGATTGTCGATGTGCTACGATCTCTTCCGACAACGGTCTGAAGCGAGCTAAGTGGTGTTCTTTTTTCTTCTTTTCGGATTTTTGAGGGGGTCGAACGCCAAGCGCTTCTATGCGTTTTGGGCTGTGCATTGAAGCCATCTTTGAGGGGGGCTTGCCAGTTTCGCTTTGGTCCCGCAACCGCGGCGCTATCGGCTGGAGATTCAGTCGGGTAACTTTCTTCTTTTTTTAATATTTTTTTTATTGCCGGACATATACGGACCTGTTTGGTTCTTGCGACCGTAGACAGGCAAAGAGCGACCAGTCTTCTTGACCTTGCAGGCTCTATATGAGGAAGGAAGGAAATCAGAAACCGCGACTTTAATGTAGTAGTTACGAGAGATAGTGCCGCCTCCGCGTTTGTTACAACTTTCCTGCAAGAAATGCAGTCGCGGTATCTTGAGGTGTTTGTGTACTTCGCGGCTGATAAGATTGGGCGACCAGACAAATCTGGTGCACGCATATACGAGAAATGTACGGCGTTGCGTCTTTCGAGAATCGAGACTGTGCGCGAGTTTTCAAACCGTCGCTTTTGTTCACTGTGGATTGAACGATTCGATTAATGCTCATTTCTTTACGTTCGAAGAAGCCTCCGCGTGTGTTGCACTCGCTTGTTCGAAGCTAACGCAGGAGGAATATTGTTAACTTTTTTCAAACCTAACAATAATCCTGATAGTGCAACAATTATAAAAACAAAGTTTAAAAAATACAAGAAAACTCGAGACTACAAACGACGATAAAGAGCGACGATACTCTTCCATAGTACACTGCAAGCTGTCTTTTAAGCAAAGCAAAAAAAAAGAAGCAAAGAAATTGTTTTTTTATTGAAAGAAATTAATTTGGTGGTAACTATGTCATATTTCTGAATGTGAATGAAGTTTCAACCAATAACAAAATTTATCTGCAGAAACAAAAAGAAAACATCAATTGGTTTTGAAGGCATACTTTGCTAGTGTGATCAACATCCTCAGGTTTTAGAGGCTAGCTTGTAACTATGCAGAGCGCAAGCTTGTCTGCTTCTTGTGGTGTGGTGACGTTGAAGCTCTGATTGACTCTGGTTGAAAGAATAGTGGGTAGACCTCAAACCAAGCTGTCTTGAGGTCTACCCACAATCCTTCAATCGGAGCTCGGCGTTCTGACGTCACCAGAACCCCTGCAAAGGAAGCAGAGAAACTTGCGCACTCTGCATAGGAAGGATTCACTGGCAGCCATAGCTGTGTGCACGACTGTTGAGCGCGTGCTGAAGGCGTGCTTCCACTGGTCTTTTGCAAGGCGCAGTCCGCACCATCAAGATTGCCGTTCTAAGTGGTCCGTTAATGTGGGCTCGTTTTGAGCATGCACTTTAAACATTGCCCTCAAGTGTGGCGTCTAGTGAATACCCCCCATTGATATGTAAAAGAAAAACGCTTATCTGTGTTTGCTTCCTCAGTGATCAAAGAGGTAGATCCATAACCTTGCAGTGGATGAGGAAACCAGAGAGAACAGTTTTAGAATGATGACGTTGAAACATCCTGTACTTCCAATTTCCTTCACAAGCGTGTCACTGTAATAATTGAAATGGCCATTGTGTTCTGTGATGTCAAGAGGATTGATGACGTTCCGTGACTTTGTTGCACTGATGAAGAGTTGTGTTCTTGAGTTTTATTTTTAAAAAGGTTTTAAGTCTGAAGCATTGTTGGCACTAGTGAGAATGCCCTTGACTCAGAATATGCTATTGTCTTCTGTGCCTGTGATTGTTCCAGGCTCAGCGAAGCTGTGCACGTGGTGATATTTGAATCTACAAAAGACCTTTGCTATTGAAATATTTCAATCAATCGAGGAATCAAATGGTCCATTGAGGTTTACCAGGTCATGGCAAACAACTGCATGCAATTGTTTTATATTGTGTCAGTGATTTTTAGTTACTGCTAGGGTTTTCATGTTCACAGTAAAACACTTAAATAAATGCTGAGTGAATTTTTAGTGTATAGTTAGAAAAGAAATAAACACCAAACATCAGATGAATGCAGAGGATCTGTGACAACATTGCCTTCTCTTCTTTTTTTTCCTTTTTTTTAGTGAGTTTACATATTGGATGCATTTTTGTTGAAAATTCTTATGAGCTTCAACTTTATGTTAGAGAGATAATCTGCTGTTTATTATGCAAAATAGTGTCAAAAAGAAATGCCAAAGACCAGAACCCCTACCTGTGAGAAAAGAATGTTCCACACAAGTGGAACACAGATGACACAGCTTATTTGCTTTTCATTGTAGTGTTGTTTTCCCAAGAAATACTACTAGTTTATCAGAATTGCATTCGTGGCTCAAAGCGTGTCTCGACATACAAGTGTGGCCTTTGGTTCTCCCGACGGGCAACTTAGAGAGAAACTAGGAAGTGCCCTCTCATTGTACGAGATATGATAAAAAAAATTTCCGGGACTGATTTTGTAGCGTAAAAAGAGAGGGCAGCACAGTGATGCACGCGCAGCAGTCGAAGGAAGGAACGTTTGTTTCTCGTTATACCAAAGGATGTTGCTCAGTGAACATTTCACTATAGACTGCACTCTAGAGCAAGTGCGAACGTCAATTCTGCGTCAAACTCGGCAAATCTAAAACCGAGACCTTTGAAATGACTTAGAAGACTTATGTCACAAAGCAGTGAGGTGTGCGAGGTCTTTTGAGGGGCACTCGTACTTCAGGAACGGCAGAACATCGCTGGAAGACAAAGAGCGGTAGGGCAACCTTATCTGACCTCTCCTTGACTTCAGTGACGTTCTGCCATTCTTGAGGCGCGAGTGCCACTCAAAATGCCCCGCACACCTCACTGCTTTTTGACATAAGCCTTCTAAATCATTTCTGAGGTCTCTGTTTCAGATTTGCTGAGCTTAACTTAAAATTGATGTTCACTGTCGCTGTGTTTTGCAGTCTATGGAGAGATTGCCATTATGCTCGTGCATGTGGTCAAACAAACTCATGTAGCACAGTTTCAAATGTCCAGAGAGCGACGCCCTTTGGCATAATGACGCAGGAAGGTCCCTGCCTTCGACTGCTGCGCACGCATCACTTTGCTGCCCTCTCTTCTTACGCTACAAAATCAGTCCTGGAACTTTTTATATCACACCTCACACATGCATAACTTGCTAGAGGTATGGGCAACATATTGTGCCATCTTTCCTGATATGGTTTTCTCTCTACTTGCACTTTTGTCATTTATAGCATCTCTGCAAAGGCCAGTACATATTGGACTATGTCTGCAATGCTCTCAACCTCTTGGAGAAGGACTACTTTGGCCTCAGATATGTCGATAGTCACAAGCAGCGGGTAAGTCCTCCCGCGCTTTGTGCCCTCTTTCTGTGGGAAAAACTCGGTTGTTTCTTGTGCTCTCGCAGCATTGGCTGGACATCACGAAACCCATCATGAAGCAAGTGAAAGGTAGACCATTCCTAGGATAGAAAGGGAAGCAAGCTTACCCTTTATTGTTTTTTTTTCTTCTGTTTCGTCTGCCTTCTCTCTCGTCTCAGGCATGAATCCGTTGGTCTTCTGCTTTCGTGTCAAGTTTTACCCACAGGACCCATTCCGTCTCAAGGAAGAAATTACAAGGTATGTCTGGCAACCACGGTTCAGAACCCGGACTTGATCGCCATCTTGCAAACTCCTCATGTAGATGTGAATATGTGCGAATATAAATAGTAAATCTCCGACTGATAGAAAAACAAAAAACTGAAAGCTCTGAGCTTTTTTTGTGCAACTAATTTACCAGCTCTGAACTTTCTAAATCTCCTACCCCTACCACGTTATTGCATTGATATAATGCTTATAGACTTAATATTAATGTGAACCATGTACAGATCATGATACTGTTCGAACGACCAAGCTGTAAAATGGGATACTCGTCAACCCCAGTAATTGCAAAAAAGTGCAATGTTCCGTTTGCACTTATGACAATAATAATAACAATGTTTATTTCCCATCATTACAAGGTGATAGAGGAGGTGAGGAGAAAAGTGACAATTCGCTTGCCAAAGTTCTCACCTCATTTACAGCAGGCAGCAAGGGGACTATAAGAGTTTTCGCAGTACAAACAAAAGACAAGACGCATACAATCTCAGCTCTCGAATAGGCTAAGCCAAATAGACCTTAATAGGGTCTAAGCAAAAACATAAGGTTACATGTGCTGATATGCAATGCATTAAACAACCCTAACAACAATACAAAAAAAGCATGAAGTGACAAGATAGTGTTTCAGGAATTACGGATTTGGAGGAGAAAATTACGCAGATCTGAATTGAAGACATTGGGGAAGGTAATGTTGTCTTCAACATGTATGTTTTTGGAACTTGGTCACAAAAAGCAGCATTAGATTACAGAGATACGATACTGTGTCGTATTCGGGCCATGGGGTCCCATAGTCGCCAGTTCTGTTGCACACGGCGGAAACTATGCGAGTTCAGTTCCACTGTGACTTCACACACTGTTCACCGTACATTCAAGTGATAACGACACCAACGTGAGCCTTCGTGTACTGAGGTCGTCCAGCATTGGAAGTAACCATACAGTTAAATCAACTTGAAAATTGTGTGAAAAAATGTAACCGGGGAACAGCGGCAATTACCAAGATTTGTTGCACCTTCCCATATCCAATTACGCCAGGCTGTAACTATTTGCACCACCTGCGCTCAACAGACTCCTCGTTCCCGCAGGTATCAGATGTTTCTTCAGCTGAGACGGGACCTCCTGCACGGGCGTCTGTACTGCTCCCAAAACGACGCAGCCATGCTCGCCGCCTTGGTTATTCAGTGTGAGCCGGCTCGCTTTCTTCGGCATGGGGATTGAGTCTGCGAGCGGTTGGCGTCGTCGGGAGCACGAGCTATGCAAATGGGAGTGAATCCGTGGTCACTTACCTGACAGCAGGAAGGTCTCCAGTGCAAGTTTTCCACCTTCAATAATGCTTTGGAATCTCCTGAGCTTCAACCCAAGGTTGGGTATCCGAGAGAGATGCACTGTCATTCTCGTCTTGTGAGCAACCGTACTACCCGCGGGCCAGATGCTTCGATGAGGCGGTGCTGGATGCAGTTTCTTTATGCTGCCACTGTTCTGCTCTGCGATCTGGCCATCAACGTGGTCATTTGTCGTCGATTAGTTTCAGGTATAGGCAGCTGGACTAAACTGAAAAGATGGGCTTGTTCCTGAAACTAGGTGCTAGCGGGAAAAAAAAAACAAAGGATGAGTGTTCGTGTTTGTTTGGTGATATGTGGAAGTTACATTTCTATGTTTCTGCTTTGTTTAAAAAAAGAAAAAGGAAAGCTTCGTTTACAAGATAACGTAATAATTAGGCAGGTGAGCTGGTTAAAGTTGAACATTTCTAAAACCCAAGACGGAGGCTACAAAGAGATGTCTTGTGTTTGTCCTCTCTTTGTAGCCTTCGTCTTGGGTTTTAGAAACAAGATTGTTTTTGTAGAAGTGCACAAACAATTTCTCCATCTTGTTCAGCTGTGAATTGCTGCATTGCTCCACTCTTCTTGTATTTATGCTGAAATGCTCCTAACTCATTCTAAGAACCTCCGTAGACTGGTCACGAAGGCGTAACTAAAGCAGTAAACCAATTGATTGTGTGCATAGGTATGCGCTAGACGGTCGGAATCTCGTACAACGTTGTTTTGCTCGTAAGTTGTGAAATTGGGCGTTTGTTCTGCGCGCTGCAGCGGAGCTCGGAGACTACGATGCCGAAGAGCACACGGGCAACTACGTGGCGGAGTTCAAGCTCCTCTTGAAGCAGACGCCTCGTATAGAGGAGAAGATTGCGGAGATCCATCAGCAACAGTTGAGGTGCGTCTTCTGTATCTATCTTTGATGTCGTCACCGCTTCAACAACATTAGGCACGACCTTGCATAAAAATGGCGTGTCATTTACCCTCTTTTTGTTAATTGATGCAACTCAAGCTTGAACACAGAGGTTACTTACGACAGAGTACCGAGCTGGCGCCCACACAAAAATTGGAGATAATTGCAAAAGAAAATATAAAGATTGGTGACTTTTTCAGTGTGAATCTGGTTGTGTTTTATCTGGTAGAAGTGTAAAATACAGTATGTAAATTCGCAATTCGATAAATAAGTTGGTGACATCAAACTGAAGCAGCCATCACTGTCACATTAGTCGTTCCACATTTAAATTAGTTGTCGATGATAACATAACAGCCTTAAGACGACACCATTTTTCTGCTCATCGGGTGAGCTACGGGAAAGAAACACTGCATAATCTAGAGCACTACCAACTGACAGAAGGAGAGCGGCAGGGGTGTCTTTTAGTTGTCCAGCCTCTAGTGTGGGCTTCCCACCTTTGATGGCACTTCGGTGTCTCGTGAGCTTGGAGCGTGCTTGCGCCACCAAAGCGTGGCAAAAGGCAATGAGCGCGTTCTAGAGGCTGGGCATCCGAAGAAAATGCCTTGCCGTCTTCATCCTGTCGATGACTGTACTAGTGCCTAGATTCTAATATCCCTGCAGTAAAGGTCATCTTGTTAAGGCGACCTGTGGCGCCACCTGGGGGTATCGGACAGACCGAGAATCTTGTGCACTTTCAGCAATGGCCAACGGGCGTGTTGTATCGCAGGGGCCAAGTTCCGGCCGTGGCCGAGACCAACTTCCTGCGCAAGGCCTGCCTTTTGGAGACCTACGGCGTTGACCCTCATCCCGTCAAGGTTTGTAAGAGAAAAAGATTGCGACTCACTGGGCTTAGAGGGACACTGACAGGGTATTTATGCTTGCTAAGGTTTTTAGTTGTATGTGACATATGAGAGCCCAACTACCCAGAACAGAATTTGCGGCTCGAAATTCGGTTTCTTTCCGCCGAAAACCGCCGATCGAGAACTGGCCGGTTCGAGTCGTGCTCACTCTCTTTTCCGTGGTCACGGTCCATTTTCCAAGGTTTCAACGTGACCACCAAATTTAATCAAAGTCATGGGTCATAGAAGGCACACAGTCAATATTAAAATTAGAAAAAAAATATGAAACCCACTTTTTGTGGCTTCCAAAAAGCTGCAGATACAATGATTTAAAAAAAAAGGTAGCACAGACAACCGGAAGCATTCTGTGCGTTCACTGCATAATTTTCAACATGGCGTCGGCGTTGTTTCGTGTATCGTTAGACCTCTACTTCAGAACTGTCGTTCATGGTATCGGCAAATTCGGTCTTCCTTCGAAAGAGAAATTTTGGACCGGTCAAAAGAACTGATATTCATCCCGTACGACACGCCCGACCAGCAAGCTGATTGCACGAAGACGTCGCCGAGCCGTCATTCCTTCTCGTGGCCGAAGACACCGCTCGCTCAGTCATCAAGCTTAAAGTGCGTACTTCGAGTTAAATACGCATACGTACAGTTTATTCATGAGGTACGAATGTGGCATATGCATGGTGCTGCCCGACTTCAAGCCGGGAGTGCATGTATTGAAGAGAAATCTGCAGCGAACTTCCGACATACAGTCTACCCGCCGTATTACTACGCACGATTGAGTTCCTTCAGTAGCTCAGTGGGAAGACGTCCGCTTCGCACGCAGAGGGCACGGGTTCGATCCCTGGTGTGGGTGTACTTTTTTTGTTCTTTTTTTTTCAAGCATTTTGCTTTGTTTACTTTTCTTTTTTTACAATCATCACTGAAAAAAACAATTGCATGTGGACGATACGTCGCTGAACTGAATGGTGTGGGATTCCATTTTTGACACTTGCGAACTTAATATAGTCACTTTCCACAAAATGCAAGGAGCATATGAATCGGGTAGCGTCCGCTTTCCGAGCTTCGCGTAACTGTTCTACAGGAATTGCAGCCAGCCATTGATCCCGACCCGTTTATCTTTAGGAAACTTGTGCACTCTGCCGCACAATGCCACTTTCAGATGTAGGACATGTGAGGCAACTCTTCACGCAACATCTTGGGAGTATTCTTTTCGGAGCCGATCACGGGAATTCACCATGGCACTCGGGCACTCACTACTAATTGCCAACACTTAAATGTACAAAACAACTCATCTTGAAGTTCGAAACAGCAAGCGGAACAAACATAACTGCAAAGGAATCGCATGGCAAACGAATGCATTTCGTCTGCTACGTGCGGAAAGAGAAAAAAAAAAACGCACGTTTGGGTGTAGCCACGTGACTTCCGCCACTCGCTCTATCCTCTCCACTTCTCCGAGTGGTGCGGAAGTTTCGGTTTCAGTTTCGAGCAGTTTCGTTTTTTTGGCTTTATTAAAAAAATATGTGGCTCTGTAGCAAAATATTAATTGGGTTGTATTCCGACGCCATAATAAATCGCCTGACAAAAAAGGAAAAAAAATTTTGGGGGGTGTCAGTGTCCCTTTAAAGGGGCACGGAAGTCATTGTTGAAAAAGGTTGTGTTTGATCTTATATTGTTTAAGATGTGTTAGTTCCCCCATATACTAAGTCCTATATTTCAGAATCCCCTATTCATTTCGGGGCAATAGAAAAACATGTGGACTCTTTTTTTTCTCGCGGCCTGCATTGTGTGGACCAATGAAAGTCTTACAATGCGTGCAGGTTCGAACGATTTTATTATAACTTGTTTCAAACAGAGTCTGATAGGAGCACATTTGGATAAGACTCCTCTTTTTCTTCGCGGGCGAAGCCGTTGCTTGCAACTCGCTGACAAGCGCCCTTTTTCGACCACTTCACTTGGAAGAAAATTCTTCCCAGAAAGGGTGTGTCGTGATCTTTGAACTCGCTTTTAACGAGAAAATGAGCTACTGACGATTGAGATTTCGAGTTTGTTGGGATGCTTAGAGCGTCTAGGTTGAATTGTCACCATAGAAGGACAATTTCAGAATCGACTTCAATGCCCCTTTAAGGAAATCGCAAAAATATTGTGACAGAACTGCCACCAGAAGTGGGATCACTTACTCTACTTGAATTCGTGTTGAAATTTCTATACAGCAATCCCTCGTAAAAACGAAATCAATGGGATGGCAAAAAATTTTTATATACAGAAAAACCTCGTTATAACAAAATAGGATATAACAAACTAATGGATATAACAAAGCAATCATTATTTTCCTTGCTTGCTAATAGTGGGAAGAAATGGACATTGGCTATAACAAACTAATGGTTATAATGAACTAATTACGACCGCTCCTTACACTTTGTTATAACGAGGTTTTACTGTAGGTGGTAATTCCATAAAAGCGATAGAGGCAAAAAAAAACAGTGTTAGCAGCCTTGAAGGTGGGCGGCAACACTACGGAACAATTGAACCATAAATTTAATTTAGCAAACCTTGGTTATGAATAACAAGCAGCAGCTTCACCGAGCAACAAAAAAAATTAAGTGGAGTTTGCCGATAATTTTGCCTGGGCATCAGTTCTCCTCAAACCGCTCCAGGCATCGCAAGAACACTGTCAGCGCCCCTGCACTCCACTCTGTTTCGAAGCAGCCGTAGGGTGTTTCGCGTCTCCGCAGTCGTTGGTGTTTCTCGAGGTGCCTCTCCGACGTCACTTCGCGTTTACCCTGGCTGCACTCAAGGTCGATCGCAGCATCCGTGGCAGGAGCAACAATGGGAAAATCCGCATCGACAAGCGCGAACAAGTCAGTTATCCTTGGAGGCTTTGCCAACTTGTTTTCTCACTCCTGTAGAGATCATTGCAGCTCTGAGAATTGTGCGCCGGCTCGGCAAGCTTTCTCACTAGAGAAAATCCGGCGTGCGCAAAGCAGTTGGCAATCTTTCACCTTCGGGTTGTGGACGCTCTTTCTCTTGCATGAGAAGCTTCTCGAACCCGTCCAATATTCCTTGCTTGTTCTGCAAAATGGTAAACAGTGTCGAACAGCCAATGCCAGAATGTTAAATTCTTTGGCAATTTCGGACTTGGGCCAGCCACTTTTCTCAATTTTGTAGATCTAAGTGACTTTCGGTAAACAGTCCCAATCTCCCATACAACGCACGTGTGCGTGTAGCATGCTGCGGGCGCACGCGTCGGGGGCTCCCAAAAGGATGATCTCCTCCGGGCTCTATCGCTTCCTTGACTAGCTGATTCCAACAGGAGTCGGGCAGCATTGGCCACGGGTGCCGTGAGTAGTGTCGGAACGTGGACGCTGCTCCCTGACCGCATCAGCACATCGGCATTAGAAGCGGTGCTCTGCACGCTCTGCCCTCCGTCACCCGTTTACTCCGTTTTCTTATTTGCCGTTTTCCCAGTTTGCCGTTTGCCTGGGTGGAAGAAGAAGGAGGGAACGCAAGGGTCTCCATGCGCCTGCGTGTAGGCTTGCATGCTTTCGGCACGGCGGCCTTCGAAATAAGCGTGGTCGGCCGCCCATACAGTTTGAATAATCAGGTTAAAAATGTGTGCATTTCGTTCGGGACCACATTGAACTTCGATAAAAGCGATAATTCGAGAAAAGCAATTTCATTATAAAGACGGATTGCTGTACTATTTACTTATTATATATACTGTAAACGACTTAATTTTTGCAAATCGCCTGCGATTTACAAAGAATAGGTCCCACGAATATATTTCCCTGTCATAGCAAGTACATAGGATACCACCCCAGTCCGCAAAATTTCGAGCAGTCGAAATATTCCTAAATACCGCACTTCTTCAAATTTGTGAAATAGTGAGCCCGCGAAAATAAAGTCGTTTGCAGCATTCATTTATATACTTTCAGGCAGGCATTTCAGAAAAAAGCAGGTTTTAAACATAGGAAAAAGCTTGTATTATGTGCGCACAATACGTTCTGTGTTATCACTGCCTTTGCCACAATAGTGGCAAACAAGGGCAAATTTTAACATGGAATGTGCTGATTGGCTGTGTTCTATGAAAAACCACTACGCTTGACCATCCTGCTTGGCGCAAGCAGCGCGGTAAATGTGAATTATCATTGCGTGCTAATTATTTGCCAAACTGCTGGGTTGCTGTAATTTTTCCTTGAAATGAGAAAGATTAAGGAAACTCTAAATAGGATTGGGTTTCTTATTTTGAACTGTTACACACTGAGCAGAGAAATGTAACCTTGATGTGAGCCTCCGGTTTCTACTTATTTATTTATTTAACAATACTGTGGCTATCCACTGAAAGCCATAGCAGGATTGGTATACAATGTACTCAATAGTTGAGGCTTACCAGTGACATTGTCGCTTTTCAGGACCATAAGGGGAACCAACTGTACCTCGGCATCAACCATGCGGGCATCCTGACGTTTCAGGGAAGCCGCAAAACGCACCACTTCAAATGGTGAGAAGACCATGTGTTTTGGTTCACAGTGGCAGCACTGAATGAGGCTTTGCCCTGCCCTCCCTGAAGGGGTAACGGATTTGGACGTGGCTCTGGGTGTTACTGGCGACAATGGAAGGACGGAAGAGAAAAGGATTACAGTCGCAAAGAGGCAATTAGAAGATTGGTGGAAATTATCAAAGAAAAATTTAATGATGCACAGCTAACTAGCACAGCTGGGGACGGGTGGGACAGAGGAAAATTAGGACTCCCTCCCGCATGGCTCCAAAAATAAGTTCTCAACTCTGTCTCCCAGTGGGTCCGGTGCTGGGGTAACGTTAACAAGGTTGACCAGAGGAAAATTGGCGGCTCCATCGCCGGAGGGAAGAGACGGGGGGGTCATGTTTGTAGTTTTTTTGCCCGATCCCCCAAAGGTCGTCCTGGTGACATCCCACACTGCCTGTTGATAGTTACGAGGACAAAATTGGTCTTAGAGGGGCGGGAGGCATATGTCTTGTCTTTTAATGCGAAAGCATTAACTGGTCTCGTGGAGCGAGCCGATGTCGTCAGTTTGAAGCGCGAAAACGGCACCTAGTTTTCCTGATCCCTAAGGTCCCATTGGCTGGTGCGTGGCGACGAGGCTCCCATTGGTCGCTGCGCGCATCAGTTTCAACGACCGCCACCAGGTGGCACTGCATGTTCGTGCTGGCAGCACACCGATAAAACGCCCATGCCACTATGGGCCCCGCGCCGGTTAAAATGGACACGTTAGCGCATGCTTGGAGGCTTCTCGCCGCCAACCAACTTGCTCGTCTCGCCGCCAACCAACATGCCGTCGCCTCCATCATCCACATGGTCAGAGGGGCTTCTACTCTTCTGGACACCCCATTGTTTCAGGCCTATAGCCAACATGTGAACGAAGGAACTCTAAAAAAATTAACCTGCTGCAATTTCATCACAAAACTCTAAAACATGCTCCACAGCACAACTCGAAATCATTACTCGTGCCACAGAACTCCGCGGCGTTCCATTGGACATTCATGCTTTTGCGTTCACAACTCATAAGAAGTGCTTAGGTGTCTTCAGACTTTTTTAGACTTAGGTTAGGTGGCGCAAGGTACTGCCCGTTACAAAGGGTATGGCCAATAACATCCATCCATCCATTATATTGACCTCTTTTATTTTGCTGTGTCATCAATGTTGAACAAAAAAAGGATAAAAACAAATATTTATGCCTTCACTAGAGTTCTAATATATTTACTATAGAGAGGTTCTGTTGTAGTACAATCAATAAAGAAATGCAACTGGAAAAAAAAACAGTTTCTAAAAATTGTGTTTTTCGTTCCCCGACTGATTGCTTTTCGCCTACTCCTGCTTTGACAAGGTTTGTATGGCTTCCCAGAAAACAGCTAGGGAGGCTAAAACGCACCATATTCGTCCATCTGGAAAGGCTTGCGAGTTTCTCGGCCAGGCAGACAGCAAAATATCTTCCACTGTTCGAGCGGAGGCTCTTTAGACAATTCCATTTCCAACTACTAAATCACAACTAAAGACATAATCAAAAAAAAAATTTGATAAGAATTTATAGATAAACATCTTGGGACAAGAGGAAACATGGAGCATGAGGATAAATAGCCATGTGTTCTGGCTCGCTCTCTTTTCAAAATGACTTCTCAATAGCTTTTGCTATTGCAATGATTTGATTGTTCAATGGAATTTATTTTACAGGAGAGTCATGTTTATGCTAGATGCATCATACAAGCTATGTCTATGGCTTTGAATGATTTCAAAAACTTGATGACGTCGCAACTGCCCTAGCATGTTTACTCCATTCACAATTTTTATGTATATAAAGCTTAAATGTTTGATGCACTTTTTTTTTTGTCTGTTGCGTTGTATTATCAGAAAGGCACGTAGCTTTTGCTGTGCATGCATCGTCAACAAAGAAGCAAATGAAAAAGCAAACAAACTCCCTCTTTTTCTCCCACAGGCCAGACATCCAGAAGATCAACTACGAAGGGAAGATGTTCATCCTCCACCTGATGTTTCCCGAGGTATGCTAGTCGTCCCAGCTGTCCCGTGGACACAGCTTGCCATGTTGTCGCTCACTGTTGTCCTCGTCTTTTTTCATTTCCCTCCTGCTTCCAGGACATCAAAGCCAAGGTGAGCGGACTGTTGTGCTTTCCAGTGTCGTATCTCTTTGCTGCAGTGTTGGCTACACACCGACATCAACTGGGAATCTAGCCTACAAAAAAACTGTAGAATATGCTGCTGTGCAACCTTTTGATTAGCAGAGAATATTTTGGTCCATTATAATTGCGAAGGATGCAGACACAGATGAAATAGGTAATGTTTGATTATATGTAGAGTCCATTTTAGCCTAAGTTGTTATCCAGTTAATATCGAATGGTGGACCTTGGATTAAAACTACTCATAATAATTTGTGGCTTTTGCAAAAGAGCCGCTTGCACCCGAGTACCACTAGAGCGACAAATGGAAACAACCGACACAGACAAGCCTCAAACAGAAGATGCATGCACGCGAAAATATCTTTGGCAGACTCTCGTGCTTACTTCTCAAGCATCGAGAAACTGCAAACCTGCCAAACGTATCGTTGCGTGCATGATGCTCGTGTTTGAGGCTTGTCGGTGTTAATTGCTTCTGTTTGTTGGTCTAGTAGTACTCGGCCATTAGCAATGATAATCTGTTCTATAACACTGCCAGAGTCGTTTCACATTTGTTGGTCAATCTCACGGGAGACCTTATTGCCATTCGGGGTGCAAGCAGCGTCGCAAGTCCATTGTATTGGTTAAAATTACGCAACTTTCTGAAGGGGTCCGACAGATATACCTATCTAAGCGTCTCTTGGAACCAGATTCATTGCAGCAGGCATACACTGTACATACCCTAATGCTACAAAGATAGCACTCTCTAAATGAAGGGCATGTGTGGGGAGGGTCCTAAAAACAAAATGGGACTTGCTTCCTGAATTTCTGTGGGCTTGTGTGTCTGCTTCTTTATTGTGATGGTTGTAGCTTGGTTTGTGTAGAGCTCAATTGTCAGAGGAGTAGTATTAAACTAGGAATTGCTCATGTTTGTTTTTGTCATCAGTTTATGTCGCCAGCGTTCTAACCGTGGTCGCTGCTACGTTGACAGTTGTGTCGCCTTTTATGTTTGTTTTTGTGTGACAGTTTGTGTTTTCAAAGTGAACCATGTAGATGGTAGTTCGTTAGAAAGCCAAGAAAGAAAATTATAATTGCTTTTTGTCTACACTTTTTCAGTTTTGCTATTCAGTTTTTAATCTATATGTTATGGCTATCTTGCTAATGATAGGTCTGTGAGGGCAACTGTTTTGATTTTATCACCAATCTGATGAAATTTGTGTCCCACCACCAAAATCGACAGCAAGCTTAGATGAGGAATGTCCCTTTTAACACTGCTAATAATGCCACGTTTTTTTGTTTTTTTTTTTTCTTTTTTTTGAGTTGGTGGCTTTGCAAAGCTAAATGGCAGTTCTTATTGGACAGTTGCATATTGCTATGCAGTGCATTGAACACAACCTCCTAATATTTAAAAAAAAAAAAAAAAAAACGCTGAACTCCCAGAAATTTTTTTTTTGTGTGTGTGCCCGGATAGGACATGTTTGTTACAGATTTAGCTTTGCGCGAAAAGCAAAAAAAATAAATTTTAGTGCAATATTTATATTCAAAATAGAGGCATAATTCCGTCTTGTTTCTAACTCAAAAAAAAAATTTTTTTTTTCACAATGTAACTGTTGTGCTATTTTTGTTTTATTTCTAGTGGGAATGAGGGGACATTTTGTGACCCTCTCGTCATATCCCAGCTCTTCAAAAATTATTTGAGGGGTGTGTATGTGTGTGAGGGGGAGGGGAAGGGGAGGGAGCGGGCTCAATGGGTTTGATACCAGTGGAACTGCCAAGTGCTGCACAGACACATTTCTACGTCCAAGCAGCCTTGTGCATTCAGCAGCTCCATGCAAAGAGCTAAACTTGGTGCCTGTCAGACGCCCCGGTGACAACAAGTACTAGAAGGTTGTGACATTCCACGACCTGTTAAGCGCCAGATTTCAAAACGAAGACAAAGTCATGGGTGAAGAAAGAATAAACAATTAAAACAGGGACAACACAACTACATCTAGTTGTAGATGTAGTTGTGTTGTCCCTGTTTTAATTGTTTATTCTTTCTTCACCCATGACTTAAACCAACACGCTCTTCTACCAAGAAGACAAAGTGCCTTCCATTTCGTGATTTCCGTAACCCAAGTTTTTTGCGAGGCTGAGGGAGTCAAGGAACTGGTGCCGTTCCAGAAAAAGCACCTCATGGGCTTCAAGTGTCCGACCCAGACCGCCTGCCACCACCTCTGGCGATGCGCCGTGGAGCAGCGCTACTTTTTCACGTGAGTGTGCGGGTCTTCCGACGGATTTGGGAGGGAAGTGAGGGAGCCGGTCCGGTGTTTTTCAGTGTGCCCTCTTCCAGCGAGGTTCCGTCGGTCACCACAGGGGGCGGACTCTTTTCACGGGGGTCCCGGTTTCGATACAGGTGAGTTTTGCAGGTTCGTAACGAGGCATCCCAACACTCGACATTCGTTCGTCCCAGAGAGGGTGGTCGGGTTTGGTTCACTGCTGTGGGGTCTAGTTTTTGTTAGGTGAAATTGGTTTTCAGTGTTCACCATAATCTTTAATTTCATTCCTGTTTCTGCTGTCAGTTTTTAATAACTAATATTTGCATGGCTTTCTGTAATACATGCAGAACATGAAAGTAGTAAAGCTGGTGGAAAGAAGTAGAAAAAAAACGACGTGGGTGATATGCAATATTTCACTAGCTTCGGGGGGTACCAAAGAATTTACCACGTCTCAAAATCGGGTTTTGGGTAGCATTTTTAGAGGTGTTTCTTGCACATAGTATATTGGAACAAAACCTATTGATTCATCTAAAATCAGAGCACAGTCAAGAGCTAGTCGACACGCAAGCATAGACAGGCATACAAGAAATGCAAGATTATGGTGCTTTCACTGGGTTTGATTCGTTCAAGTGCGATGCCAGATACACAGAAAGATGATTGCCACGACGTTACGGTTTTGGCGTTGCTTTGTTGGCCCCGTCGCCGCTCGTAGCTCCGGTTGCACTCTTGACTAAAGGTGAAACGAAGTATAATTGCAAGCTTTGCTTTCGTCTAGTCCTCCCAATGCTGTTATTTCCCCAATACTTCTCATTCTTTTTTTGTTTTGTTTTGCGAGCACAGTGGACGTGTGGAGCGAGAGGTGATGGACGACATGAAGAACATCCGCCGCGATCCGCCGCAGTTCCAGCGGACGCTGACGCGGCCGCCTTCCTTCCGCTGCAAGACGACCGCCTCCATCGCGGCTCCTTCCCTCTCCCCGTCGCGCGCTGCGACAGAGGACTCTCCCTTACGAGAAATGAGTAAGATTTCTGCCGGCCTGCTTGAGTGTTCACTCCGTGCCTGTGCCCTCCTTGCTATATTCTTCAGAGGATACTTTCCATATAATACAAGCAACGTTTTTCATTTCTAAGTTGCGTCTTTCGTCCTGAAACCTTTGCCTACGACATCTGTCGTAAGGAGAGTATGCTTGCTTCGCGAAAACAAATTGGCACTTGTTCGTATGGAAAGTTGGGGGCCCCATAATTTTTTGCTAGACATGCAATACTGGCGTCATGAATATCATTCTATCGTTACTGTATTGTTGTATGCCGCTAGTTAGTGCTATATTTTGCTTCGAGAGTTATGTGCAGCGTTATAGAAGCGGAGGCACTAACTGACCTTCAGTTGGTGCCTGTGCTTCTATCGAGATATACGGAAGCTCTAGGCAGGTGGTTTGTTTTGCCATCTTGACCAGGTTCTTGCAAGATACCGGAAAGTCCCGATAGAAATTGAAACGGTTTGGCAGTATTTAAATAGTATCTTGCAGAATACAGTTCTAAAACTTGTCAGTAAAAGCTCCGTGCAGAAGGAAGAATTCGGTGCCCCACTCTCTTCCCAGTGCACCCGACGATGGCCGACCAGACCCTGCGGGCAGCGGCGCCCCTCGACTGTGGGGATGGCTACCTGCCGGACGACGCCAAGCGCCCCGCGGACCCGCACGAGCTCCTCGACTCGGCAGACGACGAGGAGGACGGTGTTCCGCTGCCGCTGGCGCGACCCCCCAACCACGACCTCCGCGTTGACCTCACGCCCTCCCAAAGCTCAACGACGGTGGCGGCGCCGCCCGACGCGCCGCTCACGCCAGAAACGCAGTCCCCCGAGCCGCCGTTTGACCCGCAGTCAACGCCTGAGTGCGGACCCGAGCTGGAGGCGAGGCTCCGCGGGAGTGGATGCGCGTGGCACGCGACCGGCGGCACGCGGCCCCGGCTGGCGCTGGTGGCGTGGCTGGCACTGCCACTCGTGCTCCTCTGGTGCCTGTTCGTGGCGCTCATGGAGTGGGACTGGCCGCCGCTGTCGGACATGCGGCGCCTGCCCGAACTGGTGCTCGTCAGGAGGCAGTACTACGAGCCGACCAAGGAGGCGCTGTTCGCGTGGATCCGCGGCACCCCGGAGGAAACCTAGCGGGACTTCCGGGGTCACGGTCTTCGCCCGTGGAAGCGCGCGTTCCTCGTTTTGAGTCGCACGGCAAGCCTGTCGCGAACAAAAGCGCTCCGGTGCCAGGTCGGCGGGAGGCACCCTGGTGCCGAATCGGCAGGAGGCACCGGGGTGCCGAACCAGCATCTCGTCGGCGTACGGCGCTAGCTTTTCGTTACCTGCTCAGCGCAGAGGCGGTCCTCGCAATGTCTCGGCGAGAGGAGACGCGCTCGCTTGCATTTTTAGTTGTACCGCATCAGGTTCGGCTTCTTTTATGGCTTTTGTTCTTTTCGGCGGGATTAGCTCCAAAGACGCCGAGGTCCAAGAGCGGTGGTGGAAGCTATACTCCCTTTTTTTTTCTTTCTCGTTTCACTGTACTGCCACACAGCGCAGGTATGCTCACGTACTGCCGAGTACAAATGAAATGCATACGGCGAAGCACGGGACCTACGATACGTACTGCGCTGCCTGGAGGCAACTAGGAGCTGATAAAACTACTGGGTGAAAAGGTGGCCGCGAGGGCGCGCGCGTCTACGCCGACGGGTATACCCTCAAAGCCCGTCTCCACTCTGCAGTTTTATAGATTCCTAGTTGCCTCTAGGATGTGCAGCGTGTATCGAAGACCACGCGCTCTGCTGTTCGCATTTCATTCGTATCCGATAGTACCTACTGCGCTTGCATGCAGCATGGGGGCCCCTGGGTAGTATAGGCACGGGTGTACCGGTGCAGCTATACAGGTATACCGGTGCAGGCTGGAGAGGCAACTGCAGGTCTCGTGTGAAACGTTCACGGTGTATGCCTAGATAATTTTTCGCGTGCATTCCACGTTAATTTCGTTCCCGCACAAACTGCGGCGGGTGGTCGCTCATTTTCATACTCCAGCACGTATGCCAGTGGCCAAAGATTGTTTCGTGAGAAGCACGAGGTTGTTTTGTTTTTTTTTCTCTCATCCCATTCATTGCACTGGAGCGGCAAACGAGGCCGCTGGAAGGGGGATTTATTTGGCCCGCCAGAGTGCAATAAATGGAGGCCCTTAAATCATGCAGTGTCATCGCTAGAAGTGTCCGTGTGCAGGAAGCTATGCAAAACGCTTGGCTCATGATGTGTGTACTCTGCATGTTTGTCAAAACACTTGACAATGCCAATAAGATGAAAAAAAAAAAAAAAAAGCCGAGCGTGTTTAACGACTGACATCTTTGCACCCTTCCAATACTGGCGTAATGTGTACGCGGTGGCTTCCTTCTGCGCTCAACTTGCGGTGACGAGTGAAAAAAATGTCCTGTACATCCCCTGTACCCATCTGTAATGCAGGGTATGGTCTTCTCGCATTTTTTGTTCGAGAAAGTGTGTACACAACCTTATTGCAGTTTACTCTTGGTGGCAGTAAGAGAAAAGAAGAGTGTATTTTATTGAGGCTGAACACTTTTTTTTTTTTTCATTGCAAACCATCAATAATAAAGCCCATGGAGATCAATTGCAACATCTGCTCTTCATTGAGGCCCAAAGATGTCTCGCTGACTTTGTCGGCTTGTAGAAGCTTCTGAAATGGCAGATGTTATTGTGGAGGTCAGTCGACTTGACATCAAAGAGGCAGAAGCATAATAATCTTGCTGCAACGTTGCTCATGGCATGAACACTGCCCAACAACTATTTCCAATAATCCCCCCCAAGTCAATAATGATGGCTTATTCAGTTGGATACTGCTCTTTTTAAAAAAATTAATTCTTGGCTTTGTAGAGATTGAGGATAAAAATGATGGATAATACTGCCGTCCTGAAGAGCTTTCTAACCCCCACACAGTCTTAACATGACGGAAAATATTGCTGTCCAAAAATACCGCCCGTCTCTGGTCCGAAGGTGCCCTAAATGCATAGCTTTTATAATATCTCAGACGTCGTATCACGTGACGAGGAGAGCAGTTGGTCATGTGACATTATGTCATGATCACGTCTCATCATGTTATGTGATGTTATGAGGCAATAATGTCGCAGTATTGCACAATATGATGGTGTCCCATGACATCACGCGAGCACAGCAATATCACCAGCAAGACGCCATACCACAGACACGATAGCACCAAGAGCTGCCCCTATAAATGCCGTGCATTTGAAATGATGGAAACACAAACGACGGAGCGCTCGTCCGTCGTTTGTGTTTCTTACTCTGTCCTCGTCTTTTGTGCGCTTTTAAAACCAAATGGATAATACTGCCCTCTGGAAAACTTTCTAACTACAAACAATTTCGACACACAACTATGGTAGTGCCAGGCTGCGCTGTCTTCCTCTAAACTATTCTCCTGTTTAGGGGGATTGGCGGCCGAGTGGGCTAGCACACAACAAGGAGCACGTGGAGCGAAAGCTTGCACTGCAGAACAATGGGATCCTTGGTTCAATCCCCACCCCTGCCCGTTTCGATCTGGATGAGCTTCGTACCGGCATGCGGTCGTGTATCACTACTGCGTAGTGTACTTTAAACACCCCAGGTTAGTGGCAGTACTGCTTTGGCTAACTTTCTCATCTACAGTTGAGACACCAATGTCCATTGAGAGAGACTAAGTTCGAGGCTGTATTAACATACCTACCCCGATTTCTTTTTTCTCTTGTTTACTATTTCGATTCTATAAACCATTACGAGTAATTAATTTCACTTAAAGGGATTGTCCGGTGGTATCCGGAAGTTACTAAGTTTTTGTGCTGGTCACGTAGAGGGGGCCTAAATGTAGTCGTATGTGATATTTATGTCATTAAAAGACTCCCTGATATTCGTTAAATCAATTATGAACAACAATACCAAACTTCGCAAGTATGCATGGCTGGTCGTGACGTCACGTCGGGCATGGTAACATCAGTCGCGGACGTTGACTTATTCCCGGTTTTGATCAACATGGTTGATGCAGCGTACAAAGATCATCGTCGAAGAATTGAGCTTCCTTCAATACCGTAAATCTTGTCTTTTTTAGAATTAAATTATTTTACTAAGACAGCAGTCAAAAGCTAAGGTGGTTCTCTTTTTGATGTTACGTCAGAGCTTCCGCTGTTGCCAACGAAAACACTGTTTGGCAGGTGCAATAAGAGCAGTTGGGCTGTTAAAGATTGAATTACTTGCGTGGCAGACGATTAAAAATTCAGGTATTGTGGAGATGATATTCCTAAAAGCAATGACAATATAATTTAATTGTTTTCCGAAAGACAAAAATTCTACCGGACAATGCATTTGAGACTAATGTGTGGCCACTAAAAGACTGATTAATGGGAAACTGAAACTTGCCAAACTAAGAACATTTCTTTTTTCTTGCGACTTTTTAGTTAATGTGGCCTTGCCTCAAGCCTGGCTGTGTCGTTCGCTTCCAAATAGCCAGGCAGCAGGATCCTCGCAGCAAGGCCCCAGGGCCACAAGCTCTCGTAGCCGCTGAACCTGGTGACCCTCTCCAGGCTTTTCTTGGCTAGCCTGCACGCGAGAAAGACGCAAACGTTGCGGCCCACAAGCGTGAGGGGACAGCTATGGTGGTCCAAACAAGGTGCCAAGGGCGTTCGGACCTTGAAAAGGAACCTGTCGAGTTCGAGCGATACCTTTGCTGCCACCCCGAGGCTCTCGCACGTTCCTCTTCAACAGATGCAATGACGCGGATCAAACTATAATAAAAAGAATTGGCTGCCACTAAATGAGCCTACTCAAAATCGAAGACAAACGTGTACTTTCAGAGATTTTCGTTTAGCGGTTCAACAGGGTCTGCAGTCTGATGCAGCATTTTTTATGTCCTTTATGATCGCCGACTGGATGACAACTCCGAGGCGTCTTTTTCGGATGTCTTGCCCCTGGCCGTCAGTGCACGCTCGTGACCTGTGCGAGATGTCGGACATAGGAAGCTCGCGCTCGAGGTGGGAAAACTGAAGCTCCTCCCTACCTTTCTCATCTTGCCCATGAGTTATAGACCTATGCCCGCTACAGGGTAACCGAATGTTGCGAGACAGCTGCTGGAGCTGCTCAATAGCAGGTGCGACATCCAACTGACAACGTATCTACCCCTCCCAACATTTAGTGGAGATGCCGGGAATGTAGAAAGTTTTGAAAAAGTATTCAAATTGTAATTTTTAGCTGCTGGAATTGACAGATACTGCATTCTAGGTGCTCGTAACTAGGGTACTTATAGAGCAGGGGTTCTCAAACTTTTTGGTCTCGCAAAACCCCAGGAAGCCTCAAAAACTGCCGCGGAACCCTCCCCCCTCCACATTTGCCGATTGAGAAGCAACAAATGCACAATAGCAGGCAATTTTGCTTGTGTTGCTTCCCATAAATCCCCATCATATCAATTGCGATGACAGTACAAAGTGAGATGAAGGCACTTTGCATGGTCCTGCCGTGCAGCCTGCGGCATGGGGGGAGGGAGGGGGGCTGCAATTCGGGTGTTCGCGGAACCCATGAGACCAGCTCGTGGAACCCGTGTTCCCCGTAACCCAGTTTGAGAACCCCTGTAATATAGAGGACACTGCTCGGGTTCAACCGGTTGGCACCCACCGTTCCTTGTCACTTTCGAGCGCCCAGATTCCGAGCAGCAAGTGGCCCGTCCTGCACTTGGGGTTCAGCCTGAGGGCTGCGCCGAGCGCCCCCATTGAAACTTGCAGAAGCTCGTCCCGACGGTTTGAGCAGACCTGCAACCGAGGGCACATCCAGCTTGGCGTCGTCGGAGAATGCAATCTACTGCCATTAGTCTCGCCAACGAGGCTTCCTTTACCGTCGGAAAAGTGGCGTTCACAGCACTTGCCTTGGCTAAGTGTAAAGCCAGCAAGGCCTGACGTAGCAGCAGTTGAAGTGTCTTGGCGCCTTCACTGGAATGGTACAAGTCCAACGTCACTTTTTTTCTGCGTCTTACTTTAAATTTCGGTCTGCTTCGCCGGCTATCAGCTGCTCTTCGTACGAGTTTACAACTCGAATTAATGTAAAGCAAAAAATGTGACTGGATGATTACCCCTCGAGTTCTTGTGCCTTTTTCACAGACTCTAGGGCACCATCAAAATCGCCAGCTTGCTGCTGTAGCTTTGACAGGAGCTGAAAAGAGATTAGTTTTGAAGTATACTCAACCAAAAACCTCACAATTTTTTTTTTTAATACAGTGCAATTGTAAGTAGTATTGTGAGGCATTGGGAGATGCTACATATAACTTCTAGAATTAACTTTGCATTGCAGGATACCCATTTCACTTGTATCATGGTGCAGTGTATGAGCATTGCTTCTGATGGCACTTCAGTTGCCTGGGGTCAAATTTCAGGTTGGTTACTGTGCTGTGATTTTGTATCCAATTCAGAATGATAAGGGAAAAGAAGTACTAACCTAAATTGATTTCAAAACAATTGTTGCGGTATGAAAGGTCTCCAGGGTCTGTCATAACTTCCCTGGATCTGATGAGCATCGGTGCATGATTACTCACCAAAGTGCATGCTCTCCCATAAGTTCTTATAAGTTTATTTACATAGTTAAGTAAATTGAACCAGTGGAATCTGCTTCGGGTTAGTCTATTAAAAAACAAAATGGGACCTTAGCCAAAGTTTAGAATTTGGCCGCTTACCAACCAACTTGCAGTTGTCTGCTCGTTGCAGACAGCACCCTTCACGGAATCCAGAGACATTTTGTCGAGGCGTGTGCCACCAGCCAAGGTTTCACAGACCTCTTGAATGACCCTGAGTAACTTGGCCACATCGGGATTGCCAGCATAGCCCCAGAGCACCTGACAGGATTTTATAAGAAAAAAAGACGGGTTGAAAGAAGTCAGCAGTTGTCATCCAGATATGTAGATGTGAAGTTCTCAAACAGGGGCCTAGGGATCCTAGGGAACTGGTGAAGGCATTTATAGCATCTGCAAGCTCCACCATGCCATTCGGTGCACTTTTCTGCACAACACCCGAGTGCTGCAGGCAAGTACAAGGTACTTCTCTGCAGTGCAGATGTGCATTGCAAGCAACCCAAACCCAGCCTGACGGACGAGTTGACGGTCACCGCAGTATGCGCTTTTCCACGAACGAGACGGGGCTGCCGAGAAAATGTCATGAGAAAATATCATGCAAGAATTGGCTCAACAATGGTGGAACCGTTGTACATGATAGCTGTAGTGAAACACTTTGTAGGTAATGGCAGTAACAGAACCTCAAAATTGCATATTTGAAATATGAACATTTCTCCAAGGGTATACAGCCCCAGTTCAAATCTCAATGACCACAGCCTATTGTAGGCATTTTAGTCCTTTGATTTATAAGGAACCTGGTAGTGTACTTGCACAGCTTCATTACTATTATGCCCATGAGGCACATATGCATACTTAAAATCGACTCTGTTGGCATTCAGGGCTACTCTTCTTTAGTAAAACGTGACCAAAGCAAGAGGTACTAGTTTTTTAACAAGGTCACTGGGAAACTGACAGAAAAATAATTGCCGCTGCATTTCAACTTATCGATCAAATGGTCGTATGCAGAACTGCATTTTGATAGGTGCAACCAATAGAGTGCAACTCTGCAGCTCAGAAAACCTTCAATGATGTTCGCTTTGAGGTTCGAGGATGGTGATCGCTTCAAGGTTTGAAGATGTTGACCGCTCCAAGAGTCGGGTCCACTCACCAAAGGCACGAGCTGAGCAGCGTGCTGCCACTGCTGGCGTGCGCAGGCATACTGCACTTGCACCAGGGAAGACCACAGCTTCCAGTGTGCGTCTGCACCCAGCAGGAAGCGGTCTTGCTGCAGTGCCTTGTCGCACGACGAGCCACGGCAACCGCTCAGGGCCACTCCCAGGAGCACCCAGCCAGGAAGGGAATCTGTGCAGGCATTGGGACTTAATTAACACAGAATCTGTCATAAGGATGGGCTTCGTATGCCAACCGACACACAGGTCAAGGTCGTGTGTGTAAGCAATATAGCTCCGTAGGGGCTATATTACTTACATGACCTTAATGTTGGTGACCTGTAATACCGTGACATTGTGACACCACAGTCACGTGTCATGTGATATCACATATCATAATGTCATGCTATCATTTTTGTGTGACATCAAGTCATTTGATGTTATACATCATGATGTCACACTAGCATGTGACATCATGATGTCATGTGCATGACTATGACTCAAGATTTTGCGGTACTTGCTAGATCAAGCATAGGTATGTACTATCATGAGAAATGGTCCTTTATAGCATTGTCAAAACAAAACAATTGGGAAAGATATGTAAACTGGAAGTATTCCAGGATTAACCAACAGATAGCTTTAGGGTAGTCTTTCATCGTAAGCGATGAGAAGGGAGCACAACGCAGCCGGTTACACTCAAACGCAAGTGTGTGAGCCAGTGTTTAGCTGCATCGTGTGTGAGCGTACATGAAACACAACCGTCAGGAACGAGTATGATTTCCTGTTTTACATCTTGTGGCTTCAACTCCACTTTAGCGCAATTCACCACAGCGCAAAAGTGCCACCAAACAGTCGTGCAGTTGCCAGATTGCCAATCAGATCACAAGGAGCATATCTTGTTCTCACCGGGGTACAGGAAAAGCAACTTCTGTGCAGAGCGCAGGGCTTCCTTCGTGTGTCCCTGAAGTAGCCTCGCGAGCGTCAGGGTTGCCAGCAGCCGGGGCGACCTCTCTCCCAGAGCCAGGGCTGCCTGGGAGCAAGGGACCGCGCTCCGCATACGCGCAGAGAGCAACGCCTGCGCAAGAGCCGACCATAGCGACCCGCTCGCAGGATCGCGGTGGACGGCACGGCTCAGAAAACGAGTGGCACCCCGCTTGTCACCACCCTGGAAAGATCGGTTGGGTGCATGCATTTCATTGGACATTGCACATGCACAACTTCCCGAGAAGGGGTTCTTTGCTAACATATTTCAACCTAGCTTCATGCAACCAACTTCATCCCTGAATGTAAATGTACTCAGAATTAATCATAATTTTATTGTTAGCTGCACTAGCCATTAGTTCCTTACAAGCAGACTAAGATAAAACATTAGGCCTCATAAAAGAATTGTCAGTTACCTTAAAGATATGTGCTGCATTGAAGTACTGCTATAAATAGCCTTGAACACACCATTGGGCAAACGTCATAGGCAGCCATTAGACAGCAGGTATTATCTTGACTATATCTTGCACCTTTGAAATTTAATGGCAATATAGTCTGGTGTCGCTCACTCACCTCGAGCAGGTGCTGGCAGCACAGCAGGGCTACAATCCTTCCGGTGAATGACACACTATTGCCTGGGGAGGGCAGAAGCCTGGAGAGTGCTTCGTGGCAAGCAGCCTTGTCCGATGTGAGGAGCCCGAGACAGAACAGAGCCTCCAGCGCCTCTTGGGACCAGGCATCCTGGGAACTCAGCCTCGAGGAGGGAAAGGCAGGCGAGACATAAAGTAATGGACTATTTCCGGAAATCACCGGTTCAGGGGGTTCTAGTACGAAAATATGTGAGTATGCATTCAAGCTAGAGCGGGCACTCCCTCGACCATAAAAGCTAGACACTGATGGCACCACGGAGCTCTTATGACCTAGACTGGGCTCCCCCAGAATCCCGTTAATACCTATTGTGGCTTATCTTTTTGCCCCCCGTTCGTTCTAAGACGCTTCTTTCCTCTCCTTTCTAATGCCCGCCTTGTTTCATACTGGGAATCCTCGAACCCCATTTTCTGCCAGGTAGCACCAGCTATTTCTAAAAGGGTGGATTGTGTTGTGCACATGTTTAGACAGCCGGAAGCTAGTCAGTCTCAATGGACGTCCGGTGTCTCAGCTGTGGATGAGAAATTTAGCCGCTGCAGTGCAGCTGCTAACCCGGCGTTTTAACATGCATCAAATAGTGATTTGTGACCGCATGCCGCTACAACGCACATCCGGATCGAAACGGGCAGGGTTGGGGATCGAACTTAGAATCTCTGGGTTCTGCAGCGCAAGCTTTTGCCCCATGTGCACCTATCCCCCAGCGAGACATCCCATAGCAACAAATTGCTCAGAATGAAAGAAGCCGCAGTTTTGCTAGGTAACTATGAAAAAGTTGTCCGTATTAAGAAAATGTGCACATTTAACGCACCTTACTGGTTCCCCATGTTTCTGATCTAAATTACTTCGGAGCACACCCCGCAGCAGCAGCACATTTTTTTTTTAAATTGAAACGAAAAATTGTGGTTGAGACAATCAACATGACTGAGATTGCAAATTTCACTACTTCTGACGCCAAAACTAATAAGACGTTTTTTCTATTTAGGTGACGTGTTTCCTTATGAAAGAATCTCAACATTGGAGTTCACTGAACCTGCCTGAACCTAAGTTTCATAAAACATGGGTAGAGTATAAAGGCTCATTCACACTCTTGCAACCGACTACGACCGAGAGAGACAAGACCGGTTTTTAGTCCTCTTACGACGTCTTAGGACCAGCTCCGCGGCAGCGCGCCTGGTCCTAAGAAGTCGCAAGAGGATTAAAAACCGGTCTGGTCTCTCTCGGTCGTGCTCGGTTGCAAGAGTGTGAACGGGCCTTTAAGCTTTGGATGGTAATGTTTTCGAAAGAAAATCTTTTCCACGACACTTGCTTACCTGCTTAGTAGCAAATCCCTGGCTGCCAAGGCTCCGCTATCTTTCAAGGTGACCATGGCCATGGCTAACGCAACGCTGGCCTTTTGCTCTTCAGTCGTACAAGCAAGAGCTTCCTCATAAGCTGGGGGCAGTGGACAAGGGGAAACGATAGATTAAAACAGCTAGAATCTCACAGAAAAACTGAATCTACTGTAAATGACTTAATTTTTGGTAAAAACCTAAATTTCTCAAATTCAGTGCCTTGAGAAATGTAGTGAAAAACTGATCATGCGAATACATTGCCACATGGCAACGAATGCATAACATATATATATATAACTCCCAATTGCAAACAATTTTGCGCCTGTGAAATATTCTCAAAACCTACACCTCACAAAATTCGCGAAATATCAAGCTCACGAAAATAAAGTTGTTTACAGCAACTATAACTATTTCTCATGGTTCCATCTCGTTGTAAAATAAATGTCTATTGAACTTAGAGAAAAGTTTTCAAAAGTTCAGCTGACTGACTACACTTAACATCATCACCCGGAGTCCAACTAAAGCAGCGCCGTTATGAGCACCGTCGCACTTATTCTGGGAAAGAAATGGCAGCATGGAAAAATCATGGCGTAATCAATTTAGTATTTCTGAAACCTTTATACAGCGTGTACACACGCTTCAATCCAACTTTGGACGGTCTGCAAAAATCGCTTTCTGAATGTGTCGCGACGGGATTTGCTACAGAAGTGGCCGAAGGTGATGCATTCATTAATTGTGAGTATGAATACATGAAACCTCCGGAGTCAAAAGAAAGAAAATAAAAACTGATTTTGTCTTTGGACAAAAATTAACGCTTAGCCTTTTTTTCTTAAAATCATCAAAACAATTGTTCTGGGCTATTCTGGCATTTATTACGACTGAAAAATCGGTGAAATACAAAAATCGGTAAATACAACCAGCTTACCCATTCCTCACTTCATTTTGCCCAAATAAACGCCACAGTGACACAAAATATCATTTAAGTGCACACTCTCCGGCAATATGAAAGACCCACTGGGAGCGCGTGGCCGAGGCGGTGGCTGGCGGGGGCGCTGCGAGCGCTTCGGGTAATTCCATTCTGCTTCAAGGAAAGGGCGCTTACTCGGGCTCAGCCAGAACGCAACGCGCTTATCAGTTTGTGCTGAGCCCCGAGTGAGCGTCCTTCCCTTGAAGCAGATAGGAATTGCCCGGAGCGCTCGCAGCGCACCCGCCAGCCACCGGCTCGGCCACGCGCTCCCAGTGGGTCTTTCATATCGCCGGAGACTGTACATGCGAAGTATAGGAAAAACAGTTTTTTATTTTTCGTGATTTACTCGGGTGAGCCAATCTTTCCACAATTTTAGTTACAGCTTCCACCACCTTCGGGCACCTCTGTAGTAAATCCTAGAGTGATACAATAAAGAACCCGACTTCTGCGGACCGTCCAAAGTGGAATCGAAACGTTAGTGTACACGCTGTAGATCTGCTTAGAAAACAGGTCAAAATATGGATCCAGTATCTCAGTTAAAAGTTGTTGCTGACCTTGCAGCGCTGCTGCTGTCTCATTGACCCCGCTGTGGGCAAAACCCAGCAGACAGAGGACATCTCCAGTTCTGGATTCAAGCTCCGACAGAAGCTGTAGGGCCCTGTCATACTCTCCGAGCCGACTGAAAATATACAGTCGTAAAGTTAATAAGTGCGGAATGAAGGGTGGATGTCACAAAGGGGCACCTACAAAAATGGAAGTACCTTACCAGAGAACCCTAACCAAGTTGACACGGACATCTTCCGCATTCTTCCTAGGTTGTTCACTTGCATTCAATGCCCTAAAATAAAAAGATGCCATGCTCGTATTCTTGTCCCACATGTACACTCCTGTAGCGAGTGCTCCATTTTTAAGTTTGTCTACAAAATGTGTAGCAAAATTACGGTAAAATTGAGACTTCCAACATCTAATGTGTGTGTTTGCCTGCCGTAAGGAGTGCTTTACCTTAGCACACAGTTGTGTGGCAGAAAAGAGACCCTTCTTGCCCTTCCTGCCAAGTAAGAAACTTGTCTGGTTTAAGAACTGCCAGCAAGCAAGGAAGTTTGAAAGGTGCTTTATGTATTACCCAAAAAATAACTTCACATGGTAACCGCTCCACAATATGTATCCCACTTTACAGGAGCGACTCTCTTAGAAGCTGTACTCCAGGAACAACGCATGTCAGTTTAAAGCTCACACATCAAGCAACAGGTCACAACATTCCAAAACAGCAATTCAAAATTTCTTTATAGCACTTCGGTTTTGTGTCAAGCTGAAGATAGAGGATATTATTTTTAATTCTACAGCTGTGCTTGTTCTTATCAATTTCTAGAGTAAACAAATCAATTACGGCACCTGCTGTAAGAATCCCTTGCACTCCGGAGCAGCCCTTGCCGCTCCAGCAAAATTCCGAGCGAGTTGAGCGCATCAGCCTTTGATCCGCCCTGTAGATCTGTTTGTAAGAGAGCAGTTCCAACCTTCAGTCACCGACAAATACCTTTGTGCCTCGAGATAAAGCCAAGTTAATGTCAAGTTACAGTCAAGCTAAAATTGAGTGAACGTCAAGCCAATGGCGAGCCAATGGTAAGACAATGTCAAGCCAATGTCAGTCCTATCTCATGCCAATGTCAGACCGGTGTCAAGCCAATGGCAAGTCTATGTTGAGTCAATGTCCAACCGATGACGCGCCAATAGAAAGCAAATGTCCAGCCAAAATCTGGCTGATCTCATGCCAATGTCAGGCTGATGACAAGCCAATGTCAAGCCAATGTTGAGTCGATGTCTGACCAATGACACGCCAATGTCAGGCAGTACCCTACACTTATACTCACCCACTACCCTCGAAAGGGCATCCGAGGCGACAAGTAGAGTCTCTCGAACGTTCGTCTTCGAAATGCCAACAGAAAGGAGCTTCGGTGTTCCGAACAAGCAGCGAGCGTAGCCACAGGCTGCTTGATCCTGCCCAGGACAAACACAAATGATTAGTCGACTAAGAAGGGTCGAAAGCTCAAGATAGCACCCACATGATTCCCCAGTGAGGTGCAGTGCCGAAACAAATCCGCAGTGTCATGATGGCGCACTTTCTCGGCGACAAGGCCTTGCCCGACCCAAGGCTGTTGCGCCGTCGGTTCCAGTGATTGAGCTTTGGCAAATGCCCGATGAGAGAGCTGTGGTTGACGAGACGAAAAATTAGCATGAAACGCCGTGCCAATGCAAAACACCTCAATCAGGATACCATACCTGGACATTTCCGGCAAGGAGATACAAGGCACCCAGGTTGGTCCAAGCCAAAGGGTTCTGATGTAAAGAAGACAAAAAAAGAAATGGAAGACGTTTACAATTCCCTGTAATGCTGAATTAGAGTGCAGCTCTTGAAGAGGAGGAGGGGAAGGCACAGAGAGGAGGGTATCCTCTCCTCCTCCTCCTCCTCCTCCTCCTCCTCCTCCTTACTCCCTCCCCCTCGTGACGTCACTCGGGACCCTCGCGACGTCACTCATGACCTTCGTCGAGGTCCTCAGGAGTGACCTTCGTCGAGGTCCTCACGAGTGACCTTCGTGACGTCATGAAGGTCACTCATGAAGGCCTCGTGAAGGTCACTGCAAACATTGTGACCTTCACGAGTGATCTTCGTGACCCTAGTGATGTCACGTGTGACATCATTATGGGGAAACATCCCATAATGCACCGCACAATTACGCCGACGGCGACGCCGCTCAAGCCGGAAACGGGCGCCTAAGAGCTGCACTCTAAAAGATGAGTTCTCTTAGTGAGTAACACTAAAAATGCTGTTTCCCACTCCAAAGCTGTATTCTCCACACATACTCTGCCTCGTTTATACGTTCACAGTTTTCCGCTCGCTAAGAAGCAAGATGCAAAAGACTCACATCGCTCTCTATCTCCACGGACTTGATGAAGCAGTGCTGAGCCAGTGAATAGTTTTCTAATCCTGAAAAAATTCCAACACCCAACGACATCAGATGGGAATACAGAATAAAATGCACAAGGTGTTTTAACAACAAACGAGAATAATTTTTACCGTAAAAAAAAAGGGCACTTAAAACAAGAAAATTTTTTGTGCAAGGTAATGTTATCAACTGTAGTGAGTCCCGGGTTACGAGAGTAAAGTGACGCAAAACTCACCAGCAGACGCGGCAGCCACGCCGAGGCTGTTCCAGTAAGTGTGCTGTTGGGGGCTGAGCTTGATCGCATTGCGAAGGCTAGCCAGAGCCCTGCCAAAGCCACTTTTTGTCACACGTGCCTCCAGCCACAGCGATATGCCCAGGTCGTGCCACAAGGAGGCCAGCCGTGGCTTGAGCCCTAGTGCCTTCGTGTAGAATCTGAAGCCAAATTTAGAACGAGATTGACTCAAGTGTAAAATACACAAAACAGCTAAAACATTTCTAAAATAAAGAAAAGGTGCACCTTCAAAAATCATTTACAGTACTATGTTGCATATTGCAATTACTGTAATAGACAAGGTAGGTTACTAACAAGTGTGTTGTTACGGCTTCAAGCCTGAACAAAATAAGTAAACCTCGACATTTTCGGTGACGGGGTTACGGTTCCGCAGAGCAGATCACACGGTGACTTTTTCGTACTGTGCCTATGCTTATAGCCTCATTAATTACTTATCATGAATTTTAATGATGCCAACGACATGAAAACATCACGAGTCATCCAACAACAGGCCTCGATTTGCTTCCTTGTCTTCTACCATAAGTTGAACCACTAAAATCACGCAAGACACTATTACTAATAGCGAGTTCGTTTCCCGGCACTCGTGCCCACGCATGCCCACTCGCAGCATGAAGCGGGTTTGTTCCGGCGGGCACTCCAAAATTGGTTGCACTCTCCGAGTTTGTTTCAGCGTCGACACCCCACGCGTGCATGCACTCGCTGCACCGAGAAAATCGAGCATGTGCCAAGATGCAATCCCGTCATGCTTCGCTCCGGCGAGGAGCGGGAGCAGATGACGAGGGTTCGTCTGCCACGATGTGTCATTCGTACAGCAGAACCGAAAGGAAAAACATAAATTTTGTTTTAGAAATCGTGTCCCGCGAGCAACAAAATCAAATGCGAGCTTGAATTGTGAGCGTCTGGTATTTCATAAAGGAAGCGATTGACGAACTGTACTTTATTTGCAAGTTTTTAGTTGCTCTGTTGCCGTACAGACCCTGAAATATATGAGTGTGTGAAGAAATGCTTAGAACAAATGCATCAGCCACCCCCGAGATCTTTATCACCATTCGTGTGTGGGGGAAAAATTGAACATTTGTCGACTAAGCTCCCACAGCAGAAATCTGTAACTGCCCAATACATCCGAGACATCTAAACATAGTGACTTTACCCGGGGCTTGACAAACATCATCATGTTTAACATTTACCTATGTCAGCTATGTTGCCCCGTCGTATTTTGTTTGAGAAAGCTCTCATTCTCAACGCCCTCACCAAGGCTAAACTCTGATTCTCCTGTAACTACAATCAAAATCGAAAGTCCCACGAAAAGTTTTTGCTGGAAATTCTAACAGACTAGTTTAAAGCCATAACCTTTCAGTGGTTCACGCATAATACCATGCTCAAACGAATCAAGCTTATGCACGCGCGGACAGCATTATCAGTTTTCTCCAGTGTAAACCCCAGCTGCTTTGGAGTCAGCTGGTTGCGGAAGTTTACGCCGTTTGTAAATATCTCTACGACAGCCGAGTTGTTTGAAGTCATCGCAAATAAAAACTACAGGTTGGAGCGACCAACGTTTATGGATAAACGTTGGTAGCGACTGCACTCTTGCATTCCTACCTATCACGTCGAACAGAAAGACGCTACTTTCGGGTTGAGACTGGTACTTTTTCTACAACATAGATGGCGGCAGCATCAGTCTGGTGCACTCGGTGCATTTGGCAAGTTCATTTGAGGCTACTTCTCCGTGATACACTCCACGAGTTCTGCGTTCTGGGAGAGAACTTGAACGGTGCCAGTACACGTGAAATGAACTCGCTATAACGCAATACCGTACACAACTTAATTTTTGCGAGGATCGAGTTTTGCAAATTTAACAATTCTAAATATAGTTTTAAAAACTGATCACGCAAAATATGTTACCCCACGGCGACGGACACATAGCATACCACCTCTTTTCGCAAATATTTGTGCCCGCGAAGCATTCCCAAAACCCCTACTCCACGAAATTCATGAAATACCAAGCCGGCAGAAATCGGGTTTTTACGGTACGGCTAAAAAAGAAACCACAGCACGTTAGGGTGAGTCGTCACGAACTCCCAGACGGTTTCAGACTGCAAACATTTGTTTCGGATACCCGTTGCACCTTCTCCAAACACCTATCCCATCTCGTCCGGTGCCCTCACCTCTGCGCAGCCCTCAGAAGCCGTCCGGGGGATTCGTCCCGTGAGACGCCGTCCAGCTGCGAGTCTGGGAGACGAAGCGTTGCCCAGGCAACACCCAGGAGGGAGGGCAGCACACAGGTGTCTGCCAACAGTTTCCAGAGACAGACCAGCTGTCCTCGCAGAGCAACGGCCCTGCAGAGAAGCCGTGCAGGACGCTTTACCGGAGTCATAGAAGGCGAATCCTCAAACTGGGCTCCTAAGAATGCAAGCGCTCCATAAACTCTGCTACACAAAGTGAGAACAAAGGGAGGGGCTTCTTGTTCTGTCAGTGACTGTAGGTGTATCTGTATCTTCAATATATACTGGCTTTTACTGTAAAGGAAATTTGACTACACAACGAAATCGTCCTTTTTTGCAGACTCGGGGCCCTGGAAGCAATACCGTCATACACCGAGCAAATGCCCGTTGAAAATTTTAAGATGACCTCCGAAACTAGGGGATGGGCACTTGTTAGCTAGGCCCGAGTGCAAAAATGTAGAAGAGGCACGTGATGGGGTGGGCTTCACCGCTCTGCACCGGAGTGCTTGGAGAAGCAGCTGACGAGGAGGGGCAACTCGGTTAGCTAGGCCGGCTCAAAAGTCTAAGGCGGGTAGTTGACGTGTCCTTTGCTTAGTTTTCAAACGTTTCAAAAGTAGGCACTTATTGACGTGGGCACATCCTTGGTATTGACGTACGACTCGAAGTCGTCAAACTAATTTAAATCATTTTCCAATGTTCGCTTAACAGTCTGCAGAATTTTGTGTCACGCGTCGCGCCCAGACAATGTCTCACCTTGCCGCTGCATCCACGGCAGCCTGGCAGTGATCGAGTCCCAAACCGCAGAGTCCCTGTTCCAAACACTGGCGTGCCAACGCCAGATGAGCCTCGGCGAGTCCTGCAAGTGTTTCACGTGTCTCCCACTCATTAAGCTGCGCAGACCGGAGACAATTAACTGCGCAAACCGAAGAAAGTACACCTACTGTGGTAACCATATACCTAGCTGTTCATTTCATAAGCCACCCTTAATTTATCCAGGCAGAAGTTGCTCGGTTTCAATCGCAGAAATTAGGGAGGGAAGCGCTATTTTATGTAAGGTGTGTTTTCTATGCCAGCCACCAGTATCGAAGTGGACAAACATCCGAAGTCAGCATCTTAATTAAAGCAACCTATAATAAACACTATCGTCGAGCAAAAGTAATTGCGTTGCGCAGATGTTTAGACAGCAGGAAGTTAGTCAGCCCTAACGGGTGCCGGGTGTCTGTCATAAGGGAGAAATCTTGCCAGTGCAGTACGGCTACTAGCCTGGGATCTTTTATGTGCATCATGCAGTAGTGACACACGACCGCACGCCAGACCGCTCTTGAGCAAACTCTGTTGCTTTCAATATCAAACCCAGATTTCTACTACGCAAGCATATAGCAACTCCATGGTTTGTGCAAGGCATCCATTCGGCCGTAACAGTCATTCGTCACAAATGACTTGCACCGGCACCAGTACCTGCGGCTACTGTTAATTTGAATAGAATGAAATTTGCACACTTACCTTTCAAAGCGGGAACATAGTCAGGATCAACTCGGAGCACAGATGCGAAATCTGCCGCGGCGTCTTTGTGCTGCCCCTGGCGGCCCTTGATGGTTGCCGTCCTGCGTGGAAAGAAGGCTTCCTGCATGTTCGTTTCTAGCCCCAGAGCCTGTGGTACAGCTTTCTAAAAATGCAGAACTTCGTTGGAGCGTTGTACAAGGTCTGCTGAGGTGAAGCACTGTCTACCGACATTCCTATGTTTAACAAAAGTGTTCCCACGTACTGGTCATATCATTGCCAGCCAAGCACGCAAACCATTACAAGCGCTAGGGCAAGAATGCTACGAATAAATGATTTTCTATATAAAAAGTAATGATAACTTACTTGTGTGCACCTCAAACTACAAGTTGCCTCCACCTAAACAGACTGTGGTATAGTAGTACCAGCGTTTGCTTGCTTGTAATCATAGTCCTACTATAGTTTACAATTAACGATTTCTGAGTGCTTGCGCGCAACAGTAGAAGCCATGCATCTACCAAGGTTTTGTACTCACACCCATTTTACAAACGCACCATCGGATAGTAAACGGTAGCGATAGGAAGTTTGGCACCAAGTGAGCATCTCGAAACTCTGTAGACTCAAAGGATGGGTCAGTTAAACTCACTGATAGAGTGCAAAGAGATCCTGCGGATTTGCTTCTAGGCACTTTTTGAAGCAGAGCAGCGCAGCACCCAGACTTTCCCGCTGAAGGTAGGCTTCTCCTAGGCACTCCCAACAACATCTGTAAAGAAAGTTGACACGCATACACCAAATCACGCAAAAGTACTTTGGCATCCCAAAATTTAAAATTATTATTTTTATTTTTTTGTCTTATAGGAAACCGTTATCCTTTCTTCAAAGACTGGAGAAGAAAAAGAAACAGACATTAATGTGAACGCTCATATTATCATAGGGTAGTACAGACCCTATATGCATGAAAATAAGCTTCTTGGCCTTCTACAGTAACAGGCGCATGAAATAGACATGTGATGACCCACCTGTCATTAGGATCACCACGGAGGGCGTTCTGGAGGGACTGTACTGCTTCTGCCGCCGAACCACAACTCAACTGCAGGACACCTAGCCGCAGCCACGCCCACTTCGCCCTGAAAAGTGACCGAGTTCACGGCAGAGACGCTGATGATCAGTGCAAGGGCAAACTGCCACTAAGTACACAATTTCAAACGAGACATTGTGTGATGCTCTGCGCAAGTCTATAGTGTGCCATATCTGTAGCAGCTCCTTTCCTTCAGCAAGGTGTGTAATAAATAAAACAGAGCAAAAAGGGCACAGGTATGAGCAAAAGGCACAAACAAACACAGCTTTCACTATCGGCTGTCGTCTTCAAAACAACAGTCAGCGCTGTCTTCCGCTTGTCCCTGCATCCTTTTAGTGCCATTTTATTTATTCCCATTCTCGTCCTTGGTGGGAACTTCCATCGACACTCCCCAAAGTCCTGCTCGTGCCGATCTATGGTTGCAAAAATCACCCACCTTCGTACAGGAAGTTGGCTGGTGATGGCTTCTAAGAACCGGGCATTTTGCTCCTGTTGAGAATGTGAGATGGTCGTCAAGGGGGCAAACAAGCCTTCGCGTGTGACGTCTTCGCAAAAACCGAAAGTATTGGCCAACTGCAGCATTCCGGGACTAATGGCCACTTGTACAAAAGAAAGAAAACATTGGCAAGCTGATGCTACACCAGTGGCAGATCCAAGGGGGGGGCGAGGGGTGGGGCGACGGGGGCGGCCACCCCCCCCCCCCCCCCCCAAACAAAGTCGACCCCCCTCTTTCCCCCTTCTCGGAGGGCAATTTGACATGGGTGGACCCCCCTTGCACAAGAAAGATGGGAGAATAGTATCCTTAAAAATTTTCTGCCCCCCCCCCCCCCCCCCCCCCAAAAACGGAGTTCTGGATCCACCCCTGTGCTACACAATGTATGGATGAAACAGTTGGTCGACTCACCTGCTGTCCCAGGTCACAAAGGACATCGCTGAGCAAAGAACCGGCTTCCACGCTTGTCATGTTCAGTTGGAAAGCCCGTTGAAAACATCTCAGTGCCTTCCTGGAATCACAGGAAGCAGAGTTCACTTTATATATTTATTTAGGACCACTGCCAGCTACGAGACTGGTGATAGTCACAAAATTTGAAGATTATTGCTTTAAACATAAAACAACAAACCAGAATAAAAAGAGTGCAGCACAGTGATTACAACAATAGCTCACAAATAACACATATGCTAGGACTGCAACGAGTTCTTGTGACAAGTTCTAATTGATTGCTATAGCAGCTTACTTCATAAAGCAATTCCTCTATCAACCAATACATGTCGCAACAAAGTAGTTCTTAAAATACCAAAAATAGTCTAGAAATTACCAAAAGGATTGTAGATTAAAGTTATGCACAAGCAAAAGCCTTTCTTACAAGGCAATGCAGTTCATTTCACGCTTCAAAAAGACACCTTCTCTGTGGTCTTTGTATCTTCAACGATAAGGTATGCATCCTGCAGACGAGTAAACTCGTCATTTAAAGATTTCTATGCTTACTCTTTGTCCTTAACATGGAGGAGGTAGTTCTTGCCAAGAAACAAAAAGTTGCGGTGGTCCTTCGGGTCCAACCGAGCTGCCTGCATAAACAACATGTAACAATATTCAGTGCAACCCCTTTCCTTACTCCCTTTCTCTTAGGGCCTCGTACAATCCCAGTCATAATATCGGAACAGGAGAGCAGTGCAATCGAAAAACAAAGACGCCATTTTCCTTTCCAGTACGAAGACGTCGAAGGACTGTGAGCTTATTAATTGTGCAGTCGAACAAGTCGTACCTCGAGGAAGTTTTGCACGGATTCGTCTCGCTGACCGAGCTTCCACTGGATCAGGGCTCTCAGGTGCATTGCTTCTGGGGAATCGAGCTTCTGTTCTTTCAAGCTGCAAGCCAGACGCGAGAAACTGATATGAATTTTATTACCGACGGATCAAATTTAGGGCACCGTATATAGTCACTCAGCGTACAAACATGTGTGATAAAGGTCAATGTACAATAAAAAAAGAAACGGAGTTAGCATGTCATGCATACCTGACAATTAGTATGATGCCTATTCTGTAAAAAGATCACTTCAGCCAAAAAACATTGTTTCGTTTTATTTAAAAGTAAAAAAAAGTTCCATATTGGATCAACCTTACGAAATGCCCAATTTAACCCTTTCACTGTCGGGTTTCTTTCTGACAACTCGTCAACCCATGCCGGATTTTTTTTTTTTTTTTTTTTTTCACCTTTTGGTTGTGCAGCCATTTTTTTGCTAGTAACTCAGCGATGTTGCTCTTCCTTACATGCGCCACCAGCATTATGAGAGCCAGATATACGTAGAATTCACACGCAGTCACGTCTTTCCACTGGTGTATACAGGATCGGTTCGCCTATCTTAGTGCAGCAAGTACTTGGCGCCAAAAAAGGTTTGCCTGCTCAACAATTGCGTCCACGACATCCCGCATAAATAAGCCACTTAGATAAGCTGCTGCATTGTTTTCGCTTTTACCGGAGCCAGAATTGATCAAAATTTCATAAATTTTTTCGTATGTCACAGAGTGAACATGCATGCCATAACTGCGCTGCCGAGACGAAGCGAAGGAGCAAATGAAGAAACATGTGCTCCACTTTTTCCCTTAAAATGTACCCGCATTTAGTGGCCCCTCCATAAATGGAGAGACAAGCCCACATTATATTTTTTCCACATGAGTTGTTTTCGGAGTGGGAGGGTGAGCTTAAAACGCAAAACAAACATACTCGGGATTAGTAGCAGAGGGTGTGGGGGGGGGGGGGGTCAACAAGTTCTCAGGAATGACAGTGAAGGGTTAATTTTAGCGTTGTATGCCAAAGTAAATTATGCATGGGAGATGAGTCTGCCTTAAGAGTTTTTAGAGCGCAGCTCTTAAGCGCTCGTTTGCGTAGGGGAGGGTATGGAGGAGGAGGGGGTATATAAGAGGAGGAGGGTTTGAAGGAGGGGGAGGATACAGAAGAGGAGGAGAGGGTATGGAGGGGAGGGTATACCGCAAAATCAAAATGCCTGAAGAGCTGCACTCTAATTTCGCATTACAGAAATTTGTACTCTCTTCTTTTTTTTTTTTAAGGAGGAATCTTTTCGACGTTGGCTTGATTAAGTGAAATAATTTGTTCTTGCATAATTCGCTATTGAATGATTGGTTACCGAATGGTTTATTATCAAATAAACTATCGCACAGCTTCGAAAACATACCGCAGTCTTTTAAGCAAAGTATATTTACATGCGTTCCGCTTCTGCCAAGTCTTCACGCCGAATAAGTAATGCAACGCGAGCTTCCTGAATCTTGGGGTCATTTCCAAGACGAGTTTCCAGTTCTCGAAGCACCTGCAATTTATAAGGGTGGTCAGTAACAAACAAACTACAATTCATGGAAGAGAATGGTAGAAGTGTTTTCATTCATCTATGTGTCTAAAATATTATGTTTTAGGGGCGAAGCTCCTTAGGGTCTAGCCTTGTCTGTCCGGCGTCCATGCTCACATCGATCTTGCTGGTGCTTGTGCTTGTGCTCGTGGGCTCATGTGCTCGTGTAGGGTAAGAAAAAATAAATAAAAAAAATGATGAAAAAAAATATAATGTTTGCGCAGTCGACAGGATTCGAACCTGTGCGGGGAGACCCCAATGGATTTCTAGTCCATCGCCTTAACCACTCGGCCACGACTGTGGGACGAGTAGGGGCTCTGAGATGTGGTAGTAACTCAAGAGCTGGGGATGTCATGGATGAAATGTTGCATGTAGCCGCTCAACATCTATACAGGAGAGGGCGCTGCGGTCAAATGCGTATATAATTGTGTTAAACTTTGCATACATTGGCTCAACGTTTATAGACGAGAGGGCGCTGCGGTCAAATGCTCAAATGCGTATATAACCACGTTCCATATCACACATTCTCTTTCTGACATGGATGAAAACGAACGAAAGGCTCGGCATGCTGCGGCTCAGCATCCATAAAGCAGTAATAATGAAGTCGAAACGCAACCCGGAACTCAGCGCTACCTATAAGCAATAAAAAAAAATCAGCACCATCAGCACTACCTATGAACAATAAAGTCAGTATCATCAGCACCACCAAAGCTTTGCCCCAATCAACATCATTCACCACGTCGAGATGCGGTCAATTTTTTTACATTTTTTTAGCCTATTCTTACTATAGCAAATTAATGGCTGGCATGAAGCAATTTTTTACAGGGTTCTTGTGCCAACCTCGGAATGGTGAGAATGGCACACACAGAAGATGACAACGAAAAAAAGAAGCACACATACAGTGCTGTGTGTGTGCTTCTTTCTTCCGTGGTCGTCTTTGTGTGCGCTGTTCTCACTGTTTAAAATCTTTTGTTTCAACAACTAGCCCAAGCTTCAGTCTTCTGAGTTGTGTTACTACTCACTTCCTGAGCTCTGTCCAGGTTGCCTGAATGCAGCGATACTTGAAAAGTACACCAGAGTACAGGGGTCTCCTTGGCACATTCCTCCGGTAACTGCAAAAACGAAATGGGTTTAAGGGGGGACACTACCCGAAAAAAACAAAATTCTGCAAAAAACATTGATTTAGAAAAGTTACATATTGACATCCATCATCATCTAGAGCAGGGGTGCACAACATGCAGCCCGCGGGCCACATCCGGCTCACAGGCACTTCCTGTGCGGCCCGCGGACACGACACTGCGAGATATGCTCACGATGGCAACCAGTGCGATGATGCCAAATACTGAAAACCTCTCTGCCAGTTAGTAAAAACCTAAGCAGTTGCCAATAAACGTTTTTTGGCCCGCGTCATTTTTGAGTTGTGCAGCGCTGATCTAGAGAATAGTCCCAGAAATTTTCACTAGTCTACACTGCATAGTTAATTTTTTATAAATTATTTTCTGTCCACCAAAGCTAAAAAAAAAGGTAGGCTTTGAAGCACTTTGAACATATTTTTCTCCGTTCCACTTTTCGGTATAAATTCTATTTTAGTCAATCTATCGTTTGATAATGGAAGGCTCGTTCTTCACTTTTCCTCACTGAAATTTAATAATGAATGCGGCTATGGAATTTTTTTGTCACTTTATGGATGTCTTTTATAACAAATGTTGACATTTTGTAGAAGACACAGACGACCAAAAAGTTCACCAATTTCGCAGAAGACAAAATTGATAGAAATAAATGACTTTTTACACAAAGCTTTCCATAGCCGCACCTCCTAGGCATTCTGCTACATATCTAGCGAACAAAAATCTTGAATATTGTGATACTTTTCCGACGATAGATTAACTAAACAATGTAGGCGTGTTGCTGATGAAAGCTGCCCTAATTTCTTTCCCACTTAACAGACAGACCTGAAACTTTGTTATGCACCCTCTAGCATGACCACCAGCCTACCCTGTAAATTTCATTAATTTTAATCTAAGGGCTTAAAAGTTGACCCTCCTAGGGGGTGTGTCCCTTTAATATGTACTCATTCAAAAATACAACAATGACCTGGATACTACCATTGTAGGCGTGGCTTTTGCAACAACCACCAAATGTGTAGGTATGCTTGCTGCTGTCAGTTTAAATGGATGGCAAGCAAGTGGGCTTCCAGACTGAAGGGAGGCAACTTACTTTCCCCACCCTGTCTGCTTACATCTAGGATGTCCACCATTTTTTGTTCTAGCCAGTTCTACTGGAAAGGGGCTCATATGTATTGCTTTTATTTGTGGGTGTTAGGGAATGAAACATGATGAGCACAGGGAAAGTACAGTCGAGTCTTGTTAATTCAAACTTGCACAGGTCCCATCCAATGCGTCTTTATGGGATTAAACTCCCGGTAATTGAAACTCTGCTTTACTCAAACAAATGTTCAATCCCCCTCCAGTTCAAATTAACGAGATTCGACTGTGATTCCTTATCAAAAGCATGCTTTTTAAATAGTACAAAACCCAAATTTGCTTGTAGAACCAGTTCAATTGAACTTAATGCTTTGCTGCCCATTTTGACACTTTAAAACTTGAAACCCAGTAGTGAAGCACTTCACCTTGCATGAAAGTCACAACTATACATTCATTTGCAAACCGATTAAAGCTAGAGTTTTCAACACGTTAACCAATTACGGCGTAGAATGTGCCAAACATGGTTCCACACCTGGCCCAAGGCATCCGCAGCTTCCTCGTGGCAGAGCTGTCCACACAAAGACTTGGCAAGGCACAGAAGTAGTTTCTGCGATATCCATCCGTCTGCATCGCCAGTACAAGCCAGTCCTGTGAAAATTTTTCTCCCTTTGCAACAAGTTCTTCGCTGGAAAAACCTCTCTCGCTGGTCTGCCTTCTTTATATAGTCGCACTCTGGTTATGATCCCGTTTGGAAACCGACTGCTTCCTGTAAACGCCCCACCTATAGCGACATCTTCCATACAGTACTCCGACTGTAGTCAGGTTTAACAGCCCACTCAGCGACAGATTCAGAGGGGGATCCAGATGTCCGGACCCCTCTTGAATTCTGCATGTGAAAAAATTTAGGGCGGGGGAACGGGGGGCATGTTAAACATATTATGCGCTGACCCCCCCCCCCACTCTGGAAATACCTATATCCACCCCTGAGCCCACTCACCTATAGTCTGTCGCATATTAAGAAAAGCAAGACAAGCTTTCCCCCCCCCCCCCCACAAAGCCCTCAACTCTTTCACTTTAGCAGAGCAAGTGCTGGAAAGGAGAAAAGCATGTGGTGGGTGGAGAGCTCTGTGGGCCAAGCTTGTCCTGCTTTCTTAGACTTGCAACAGATGAGAGAATATATCCTTTTTAGTGAATTAACAAATAAGGCATCCCAAAAAAAGATTGTTTTTTCTCTCCGTGGTTTTTGCAGGCTCGACGATGTCTCAGGTGTGACTCGGAGGCTTACCGTTGCGGGCATGGACTTCTGCTTGACGGAATCTGTTGAGGCTAAGGTTGCATAGTGATAGGAGTAGATGAGCCTCCCTTGATGCACGACCGATTTCAGCAACTGCGGTAAAGAATGACGCGGCCGTTGGTCTCCAAGGGCTGTCAAAACAGTTAAGGCGCTGCCAACCGCAGAAACAAGATCTGTATGCTATCTCATTGCATCATCTATAGATGCAGCGCCGCAGGCCCCTATGGTATGAGCTTCTTGCCTTTCCGCGGTGCCGCTGTTCTCCTGAATTAAAATAAATATCACCTTTACCATTAGATACTGAAACCTCACCGAAGTCAAAATTTCAATACTAAAACAGAATGTATAAGATTGTGTAAATAAATTGTATTGTAATGTATTGTATTGTGGTGGCAGATTCCTGAAAAGTTTCTTATTCCAAAATCTTTGTTATGTGGGTTCACTCGAGCGAGGGTTTACATGAATATTGTTTTCTGTTTTATCGGTTGGAGTAGCAAACCAAGCTGCCTCGCTGCTTGCATTCCAACCTTCATAATTTGTTTGCATTGATTTCTGCGATCAAAGGTATATGACCAATTTAAATTAGCTTTTAAAGTATGCCTCGGTATCACCTAAAGTAAACAGCTTTAACAACAAATGAATGGCAAGACACAATGAGCTAATGATTACAGCAGCATAGAATTGTTACACATAAACATTACACCCAGAGGTCAGTCCTCTGGTGGCAGCAGTGTACTTTACTCAAGAGAGGACCAGATATCTTTTGTAGTACTGCACCAATAGTCTGGCAACACTCTGTGAGGCTGGGGAGTTACGACCCCAGAATGTCTAGCTAATCTGTCACCTTTTGAGAGAGCCTCAAGAGCCTTTTCGTGGTCACCGGTGGCATGCAGATGAGTGGCACGGGCCAGCCAGCCAACCGGAAGGTTGGGTCGCTTGCTCGTCATTTCACAGATGGCATTGAGGTCGTTAGACGGAGCTGGATCTCCCCAACCTGCAACACAGATTACATTCATTGTCAATCTATTGCTACCTTGATCTACAATACTGTTACCCTCTTGACACACTAGGTGGCATCGTATTGAGAAGCTATGTGGCACACTACTGCTACTCTATTGCCACCCTGCTGTTTCCGCATTGCAAGTCTATTGCTCACAGTTGTTCTGTTTCCCCCCCTCGCAATTGCAACCTACTGTTATTCCAGTCTGCCTTATTATCACATCCTAATGTAGTCACCGAAACACACAAAAAAAAAAAAAGGAATTGGTGCTGTGAGTGTGCCATACATTTCCAAAATGTGTTACTTCAATCACTAGAGGGTGAGACCTATATTGATCTTTCCACTTCACAGCTTACGTTTGTCCACATCATTTTTCTCCCTCTAGTACGTACCCACAAACCAGCATCAGTACATTTATGCCTGTCTGCCTATCTGACATACCCACGGTCATTCCTGTATTGCTGTTCCACTATGTCTTTTCCAGATGACTGTTCCAAATGACTGTGCCAGTACAGATGTTCCAGTATGGACGTAGTCACTGACAGAGTGAAAACGGCAGTGTGTGTCTTTCGACACACTGAACTGCCTGACACGGAGAACCATACTGGCATAACAATGCCAGTATGGCTGTTCCAGCATTGGCGGGCAATACATCTTGTGCAGAATTAGGCAGCAACTTCACGGTTAGGCATCTGTTTAGTATGATCCTGATCTAAGGCTTTCGGGCTGAACTAAAGAAGGGGGCCACCTATACCTGAGAGGCTGCTGTCGACATACATGCCGCACAAGACCTCCAGCGGAACAATGGACTCTGCAAAGGATTCTCCAAACCGCTTCACTTCCTTAGTAACCTTGTTCCTCTGACCGACCTACAAAGGACGAAGTGAGAAAGGGTTTGAACCGTTACGTTTCAAGCGACACACGTCTACAATGTGCAAAAATTCTGAGGACACATAAGCACCTCTTATGAGTTGTGAAAATGCGAAAGCCCTGAATGTTCTTCTGCTCCCTTAGTTCGTCTGCAGTATACTGGCATGGACAGCCTTCTTTCGCTATTGCCGAGGTTACAACCATACACAATATAGACGCCTCAGGCGCCGCTATGTTCCTCGGCACAGAGGGGAGCAGAAGCGGCCAAAGCCTCCCACCCCCCCCCCCCCCCCAGCAATGCCTGCCATGAGAGCAACGGCCATGCACGCGCTCTCGTGAAGCGGCCGCAGCCTCCCCCCCCTTCCGGCAACACCTGACACGAGAGCGGCGGCCAAGCGTGCGCTCTCGTGAAGCGGCCGCCAAAGGCTATCTAGAAGCCATTTTGCTCAGCCAATGGGAGAACAGGAATTCCTTTCCTATTTTTTGGGGGGTTACAAACGCCGCCGGGTTTACTCCATGGGATAGTTAATGCTTTCGCATTAAAAGATCCAGACTATAAGACAACTTTCTGGGCATTCAGGAGTGTACTATACACACGCAGATATCCATGCAATTGGTAAAGCTTCTATATTTTATAGTGTTGTGCGAATATTCTAATTTTCGAATAATATGCTACTCAATATTCACTTTGAGGTGAACTGAGGTATTTATACTTTTTGAAGCGTTAATCATGACGGGTTAGCCCCGTTGAGCGTGTTTCTCACCGAGCACCTGTGCACTGTGGGGAAGCAATACTTGCAAAGCCCGCAAGCTTTGCGGGTATTGCTTCCCCGCAGTGCAGAGAAGTTCACTCAACAGGGCTAACCCACTGCAGTATATGTTTGACAGCGATGTCTTGACAGCCCACGTTCATCATTCCTGGGTTTTCTTTTTGTCAAATGCAAAATAGAACAAAACATATTTGCATATAGCAAGCAGATTTATAAATACCCTCGATTAGGATAGCTGCAACAAAATTTCTCGTTTACGTGCCAGAGTTCATAGTTGCATTAAAATTTACTGAGCTTAGAAGTAGAGAAGATGAAGGTTAGAAACAACCTTCATGAGTTCAGCTGAATTTTCATTTAACCACAATGCACAGTAGTGAAAGATTTTGACAAACTATGACATTAGATTATAATGCAATTAAATGCAAAGGTGCAAGCGAGCTGGACAAGTATGACGAAAATAATCCCTGGAGAAGGGGAACAAGAGAGACAAAGGACAGACACAAATCTCCAAACACAGCTAAGTGACTGCAGAGCCGTGTATATAGAGAGTTTGGTCAATGGGAGGCGCAGGCAGAGCCAGGGCGTGCGCCAGACCCGGAAAGTGGGCTTGGCATGCTCTCTTGACGCTCTTGACCAACCAGAAACCGAAAAGAATCCCCTAGCGGTGGTAGCGAGAAACAGTTCTGATCAAAGGTTTATGTTTGTATATGGTTTTATTAAGCGCGTAAGAGTGAAGTGTAGTAACTCTTCGTGGTTGAAAATAGAGTGCACGTGAAGTTTCGATCATGATCATGCAAGAAGATGCAAGAAACGAATGTGCCGCTCAACTCTGTTTTGCTCGGATAGAGTGTGACCGCTCGGACGGCAGATTCCCGGCCCTCGGTGCTTGGCACAAGGATTATGTCGATCATTGCGCTAGTCGCACTCTTCAACCATCATTTTGGATGAGCGTGATTGAAACATCACGTTATGGCGCACCGTGCGTTCACGAAGGCACCCATCAAGACATTCTGCCAATCTAAGCTGCGAGGCAGGTATGTAGCTGCCTCGCCTCAGACACGATCACATGGTCGTGTCGCCGCGGGGCTATCGGGATCTCGAATTCGGCTCCCGACGTGCCGCTTTCTCTCCTAGCCACTGGATGGCGCTGCAGGCGAGGAGAAACCTCCTCGCCCATCGATAGATATATACTTGATGGGCCAGGGGCAAAGGGCCTCTTAGAACTTCGGGCGAGACCTAGACGCAGGCAGATGGGTGGCGACCGGATCTAGGATATCGGGGGACACGAGGCCTGGGGGCCCTCTTTGTGTTTAGCTTTGGGCTTAATGTGCGTTTGTAAATATTTGTCTAATGTCGCGTGTATTTGTAGTTTAGATTGAGTGTTTTGTAGCGTTAAGTTTTATTGTACCAATAAACGGGGAGCGGAATCCCGCTCCCATGAAAGAACCAGGCTGGACTCGGTTTGTTGACGGACCACGTGGGAACTAGCGAATCGGCGGCGGTACGCGCTTTCCTACAACAAGTACCATATTTTCAGTCACCGAGAGCTACTCCGATGCACTCATCAGGTTTGTTTCTCGTGACCACCGCCAGGGTAATATTTCGGGCTTCTGGTTGGTCACATTCGAATTTGTGAAGACGCCCTGGAACACGCCCAGCCCGCTTTCGGCCAATGGCGCCTCCTTATTTGTCTCCTATACTTCCCAACAAATGGCCAAACTCTCTACATATACGCCTCTGGGGTGACTGGTGTGCAACCGAAAAAATCTGCCTGGTCCGGGTATCAACCAGGGACCCCTCCAGACCAGGCGGATTTTTTCAACTGCGCATCAGTCACCTAGCGGTGTTTGGAGATTTGTGTCTGTCCTTTGTCCCTCTTGTTCCCCTTCTCCATGGATTATTTTCGTCATGACATTAGATCCGAAAATATTTGGCCAAAACAACTATCCGCTTCGAATTCGCTAATGCAAACTCAAAACCCACTATTCGCACATGACTAATATTTTATCTCGTAATTAAGACACGCTACATTTTGGATGTAATGTGAAAACCAGAGCAACACTCACCAAAAGTCATTTTCGAAAATAGAAAAAAAATTAGAAGAGTATGTTGGTTCAACATACTTCTACTTTTAAAACCATTTGGACTGAACAATGGACCGATTTCTATTTTTCACTGTTCACATCGTCTATTTTTTGTGCTGCCAAGTCATCATTATGCCGAAAAGACTAAGCACTCTTTTAAACCGCATTGACAAATTTACAAGCACTAAATGACTAAGCGCAACTACTATTACTTGGAGACAGCATTTCCAAAAAAGACGCGCAAGGTTCATAAGTCACCCGATTCGCTAAGGACTTACCTGGAGCAGTGCATCAATGTAGAGACGGCAAAGTGCTTCCCGGCGCGGCAGCTCCACCTCCGATAAAAATGTGAGCTGCTCGTAAGCCCCGAGTAACTGCGGGTTGGGGAAAATAATTAAGTTAATAACGAGGCAAACCAACAACAGTTTGTTTTAACATACAAGGTCTTGGTGCTCTTTCGGATAACTTGCGATTTTTTCCTTGCTGGAATCCAGAAGTGTCTGCCATAGTGGCAGCGCTTCTTTGCAGGCTGGAATCAGCTTTATGCAACAATCTAGGGTGCTTATGTACTGAAAGGAAAGGAATATGCATACTTGGAAGAAAGTGCCAGGTGTGTCTGGGCATCTTAGAAGGATAGCGGCATAAAGTCCAGAAAAAGACTACACAGAAATGTCCGAATGATGACTACACATGTGGACAGGAGATGTCAGAACAATATCATTCACTTTTTCATGCATCCTTTTGTCGCTGCTGTTACATGTGGCAGTCAACGAAGGGTTTGTTGTTAGTACCTCGGTGGTCTTCCCAAGGTTCCTGTAATAGCCGGTCAGCTTTTCAGCCATTTCGACCTGCTTTGCAGTATCGCTGCACAAGAGAACAGGTTTTCACATAATCAGTCTTCGCTCATCAGTCCGCATCATCAAACCAACATCACCGAGCAAAACTGCCAATGCAGAAAGAAGATGGATGCCATGGCACTTACTTTTGTGTCAGTTCGATCAACTTCAAGTAGACATTGTGGCGGTCATTCTCAAAGCTGCCCAGACTCTGATGCTTTTCATAGAGGGCACACAGTCCCTGCAAAAGGTTCAGAGTCTATGTCAACTCAATTCTAAGAGTTCAGGAACTTTAGCAGAACTCGGGTGAGAGTTTGATCTGGTGCAAGAAATAATATATAAAAAGAGAAGTAAATCAAACCTGCCACGCCAAGATCTGGTCGGGCGCAATGGCGGCGGCCTTGCTGAATGCGGCAACCGATTGCTCCAGCTGGTCAATTTCCTGTGCCGCAGCGCCCACGAACACCCAGGCCATGTAGCATTCTTTGTCGAGTTTCAGAGCAGCCTGTGTTGCAGACGTTGCGAGATTTATTGAGACGTTCATTTCGTCAGATGTCTCGCACAAAATGGTGTTAATGAATTGGTTGGTAGGCAGAGTAGAGCATAACCTGCCACGGAGATGAGTTCACAAGTTTATAAAATAAAGCTATGAATATAGCTACGAGTATGAACACAACTGTGAACATAGCTATGAACATAGCAATGAGGATGAACATAGCTGTGAACATAGCTATGAACATGAACATAACTAGAGCATTCGTGGAAGAGTTGTTTGCTAAGCTATATGTTCAGATCAGTGTGCCCATTCTACAAATGAAAGAGTGGGATATCTCTAAACCTTTTATTTTCTAAATGTTTACTACTGAAATTAAAGTGACATAAATTCAACAGCTAAGGTCACAGCAAAGGAGCGCCTGTGTACTATCCATCCGGTGGCATACGTTAATTGGTCTACGAAGGAATGGTACTCTTCTAAGAGGTATGCAGCAACTTAGCGTATCCCCATTCCAGGTTAACAGATCATGCCAAATGGCTTGAATGGATTGTGCAGACGTTGCTTGGTGTTCTAAGAAAGTGGCCTTTACATATATTCCCATTTAGAAATCTCGTACTACGTACTAAGGAAGTTTTTAAAATGAGGTCAACTCACGAGGGCTAGCTAGAACAAGTATACGGTATGCATGATGCATATGCCATGAGGGCATTGAATGCAGGGGCGGATTTAGAGGGGGGGTCCGGAAGTCCTGACCCCCCTCTTGATTTCTGCATGTGTAAAATTTGGGGCGTAAAACGAAGGAGAGGGGTTCCTAAGCATATGGTACGATGACCAACACCTGACCCCTCCCTCAGGAAATTCCTGCATCCGCCCCTGATTGAATGTGATCTGACCTTGCAGTGCCTCAGAGCAGCTTTGAAGTCTTTCTGTCGTATTGCCTCCCTGGCCTCCTTCAGTGCCTGTTTCACCTCCTTGGAATCCATGTTAGAAAACAGAACCTGACCTGTGGAGACGAGTGAACAAGGGAACTTTGCATAGGCATCATCATTGCCTTGTTTTGTACAGTATTCCAGTAGCAATAACTTTTTAGTAATTGTAGTAGAAATGTTATCTTGGCTCAGAGTGCAGCGGCGCAGCAGTAGCCCGTGCAGTTTACCATGACCATACCAAGAAGCCTATAGTGAAGGCTCAAGGCGCCCCATATAATGATGATGCGATGACATCGCGTGCAGGTGAAGGGAATAACGATGATTAAGAGAGGTTGTGGCAAGAGCTTATTATTAGTTTGTAAGTAACAGCAGCAGCGGCATGCTTATTCAAACAGATATGTTGTTTTTTAATAAGACTGAATCTGAATGACCACAAAAACAAATCAAAGCCAAGTGGCTCGACATTTATCGACAGTGACAATGAGGCAGCATTATTTTTAGCAACGCGCCCTAGAGGACAGCGAACGATTTTATATCTAAGTTCATGATAGGGGATGATAAACAGCTGATGCATCACACGTCTCGAGCTCGTATCAGGAGCAGCGAAGGAAATTCGAAGCTGGTCCTGTGTGCGAAAAGAAACATCAAAAGCTTCCCCGTGGCTTCATGCACCTCGACGTCATAATTAGTATGAGCGTCCGAACTCAAAACGGTACCTCAAACGGTACCTCAGCACACCCCACGCCTCGACCAGCAAACTCAGCCGTTTCAGCTAGTTGGGTACCTCCACTCGGGTACCTCGCCACCTCGGGTGCCTCGAGTGTACCTCGCGAGTCGCGAGCTCGCGAGTGACGATTCCGATTTCAACGCCACCTATGCTCATAGAGCATCAAATGCGCTCGATTCGTCGGCACATGTGAGAGAACCAATGTCGTTATTGACGACTCATGACGTATATGGCTCAACGATAAAGCGGCATGGTAACACATCGATCCGATAGCACGAGCTACATTTCAGTTTGAGCGAGAAACATCGAACGCGTTATCGCGGATCGTGCTGCCACCTGGCACAGAATTTTTTTTTGTTCAGTTTTCGACAGGCATACGCGACGCAAGCGGAAGTCCGAGGTGTGTTCCTCAGTTGACAGGTGTCCGAAAAAAACACCAATTTCCCAAACATATCGAGTAGTTGGATCAAGCTGGTGGCCGTGTTACCCCCTCGAACGCTCCCCGGTCAAAGATGTACACAGCGGAAGATCAAAATATCGAATGCCCGTTGTGCATGGAACCCCTGGAAATGGACGACATCAACTTCTTTCCGTGCACTTGTGGGTACCAGATTTGCCGATTCTGCTGGCATCGAATTAGGACTGACGAAAACGGGCTGTGTCCCGCCTGCCGAAAGCAGTACCCCGAGGACCCGGCGGACTTCACTCCGGTGTCCGTCGAGGAACTGCACAGGATCAAGAACGAGAAGCGACAGAAGGATCAGCAGCGAAAGCAGAAGCTCTCCGAGAACCGCAAGCACTTGGCCAACGTTCGCGTTGTCCAGAAGAACCTAGTGTTCGTGGTCGGCCTGCCGCCGAGGCTCGCCGACGCGGACACGCTGAAAAAGCAGGACTGCTTCGGCAAGTACGGCAAGATCCACAAGGTGGTGGTGAACCAGAGCACGTCGTACGCGGGACTGCAGGGCCCGTCCGCGAGCGCCTATGTGACGTACTACCGGGCAGAAGACGCGCTCAGGGCCATCCAGGCCGTGAGCAACGTCAAGGTGGACGGGAGGACGCTCAAGGCGTCCCTCGGCACCACCAAATACTGCAACTACTTCCTGCGCGGGCAGCAGTGTCCCAAGACGGACTGCATGTATTTGCACGAGCTGGGCGACCAGGCGGCCAGCTTCACCAAGGAGGAGATGCAACACGGCAAGCACCAGGACTACGAACGTAAGCTGCACGACCAGATGTTGGGCTCGAATAACAACGGGACGGCGGCGACGGCGACGCCGGCGGCCGTCGTGCCCGTGGCGGTTGCCGCTCCCGTGGTGGCCGCTACCGCGACCACGACCAAAAAGTCCGGCAAGCAGCGCAAGCCCGGGTTGGCGCCCCGGCACGCGCGGCAGGGCGAGCTCAAAGCCGCCGCTGAGGCAGCGGCCGCGGCGGCCGCCGCCGCGGCCGCGGCTTCGCCGCCGTCGGACAGCCGCAGCAGTCCTGAGGAGCAGTCTCTAACGCCACCTTCGCCCGAGGCGAAGCGGAGCGGCGCCGAGGACGACCCGGTCGACGACGACCCCATCGTGGCGGGTGCGGCGCACGAAGACGATCTGGGTTTCGACCCGTGGGATGAGTGCTCCAAGGGCCTGGCAGACCTGCTCGAGAAGGAGGCCGTCGCGGCGCCTCCGCCGCCCTCGCTACCCCGAGTGAACGTGCCCGCAACTGCATTACATAGGCCCCCGTTTCTGCCGCGTTCAGTTCCGCCGTTTGAACCCCCGTTGCTACGTAGGGCCCCACCACCGCCGCCCGGTTTCCCGCCCTTCTACCTATCCACCGCGCAGCAGCAGCAGCAGCAACCACAGAAACTGTGTCCGCTGGGCCAGCCACCGCACCAGCCACACCACCACCAGAACAGCAGCGGCCTCGCGGAACTGTACGCGTTGCGGGAGTCGCAGGAGACACTGCGCTCGCTCCTGCCCACTGTGAACATAACCTTCGGGCCGCCACTGATGCAGGGACCGCCGCCACCTCCAGTCAGGCCGTGGGCACACCACCTTGGCGCGTCGGGGGTGCCGGACATGCCGTGGATAGCGCAGGACCCGGCCATCCTCACAGGGGGCAGCCTCTCAGAGGCAGGCAACATGGCCTCGCGCTTCTAGGGTTCCCCCCTTTCTCCCGTTCCCGGTATGCTCTCGCGACTTCACGCCATCGATTGGTTCCTAACCGACCGCTCAAATTGGCGAGACAACTCGATTAAGCTAATCGCCCATGAATTACCTGCCCGATGACCTAAATTTTTAAAAGCTAAACGACTCGCGGAGCCAAGGAATAAAGCAGTACATAACGGTGAACGGATTGCTCTCTTGCATTTGGCAGCTTCTTCGAAGACCGAGCTTTGAGGACGTGTCTTTGCCGACCTTCGGCAGGAAAATGCGGCCACTGGTGTCTAAACGCTCCCACAGTCGTTCTCTTAGCCCTAGTACAAAGTGAGGAAAGGCTTCGGTAACCTTTTTGCAGTTTTTATTCATCACGAAGACACATGCACTATGATTTCAAAGCATTGGCTGCATAGTCATCGCCACATTTTTGTAATCCTACTCGGAGCATTGAGAAAGTAGCATGCAAATCTGGCTGCTTTGTGATGCGCATCCATTTGGGTGTGTGCCGCAGGTAAAAAGGCATTGTGCCACGGTATAAGTTTGTCTATTTACTACTGCATGGTAAACATTGAGAACCCCTGGTGAGCTGTCGCACTCTACAAGTTAAATTTCCACTTTACCGTGGAGTCATTCTAGGATCCCGTTTCATTCAGATAGTTCTAGCTGTAAAAGTATCCATACAACAAATTCCGCTTTAATGCGCACTCTATTAGCATAAAGCAACAGCTTGATGCTCGATTCTGGATTTAAAGTGAGGTTCATTTTGTGGGCCTCTAGTAGGTGCCCGTCACTGGACTTCACATAGTGACTGGTTCACAACACAGAGGCAGACATTCCCTAAGAGCCACTGGAATCTGATTATATTGGTTCTTGCAACGACACCCCCCATTTGTGTCGCTTCGAAAACGAGTGCAGCGGCCGGGTTTGACGCTTGCAAAGGTGGCACAGTGGAAATGTCGTCGACGAGCGGAGTGGAGGTACATCAAGATTCCCTGGGCCATGGGGAAGAATCGACCGACTGCATTGCTGGTATCAACGGGACAGCGGTGACATCGATTGTATCCTTTACCCAGTCTGCTTAGTATGTTTGTACAAAGCCACGGTTTTTATTATTATGGGTAAAAAAACTTGGGGGGAGAGTGCTATGTAGGAAGTTGAATCCCTCGAGGAGAGTCCGTGCCACAAAGTGTGCCATTCTCCTTATCTAATCTCGGCTACCTAATCTGGGCTGACCACCACACCCCCCTCTACATTTGATGGGTGGTTTTGTTAGAAAGCACTTGGTATTTGGCCATGCAGTAGCGAGCTCTGCTTGCAACCATGTTCAGGAATGAGCTACGACCATACATTTCATTTACCTCTTTTCTATGCAACTCTTCCTGTTCTATCTTATGCAGGCCTGGCGACGATCTGGTTGCCCTGTTTACTGCGGATTTGGTTCTTTTAGTCGGTCACACCTAGGATTCCCGGTTTTCAGATTAAACCAAAAAAGTTTGACGAACACTCACCGGGTAAAACTTTTCATCGATTCGGATTTATACAAAAAACTCTAACATTCACAGCTGCGGCACCAAAACAAAAAAAAAAGAATATTTGAGAGAGTGCCAAGTCAGTGGAGGCTGAGGAGAGGTCACTCGTATCTCCCCTTAACCTTGGATGCTTACAGCAGGCACTCATTGTCCATGTCCGTTCTAAAAAATGGGTCAATGTGGCTGTATTTCTGGATTACAACTAGGGTGTGTACTTTCCGGTGTTTATTTATGACAAAAATCGGCGGATGTTTATCGGTGTTTATTTGTTTCTAGAATACCGGTGCTTTTTGGTGAATTCTCTTGTGCAGATGCTAAAAACAGTGATTATCGGTTGAGAAAGTTGTGAATGTAAACAACCACTAAAGACAGACAGTTCAGATTTTATTTACATCTTTTACACAATCTCTTTCACACTTGAATATTGTAGTATATATGCATGCATACATTCCTAGGCTCGTGTCTGTCACTGCCACCCACACCTTCCTCTTGATGATGCGCAATTTCGAGAATGCCCGCTCAACATGTGAGCTGGACACGGGAAGCCCCAAAACATCCAACGAGGCTTGGGACAGTACTTGCCAGTCCGATGCATGCAGCTTCCGAAAGAGTATGGGATCAACTACAGCGCTGATGGCATACTGGCGGTACTGAAGAAACCCGGCTTCGAGATCGTTGACCTTATATTCATTAAGCACAAGCCCGAAGATGCTTTCATAGGAAGAAAATGCCCCTTGCAGCTCCATTTGCACGCAAAGGTTAACTATCTGCACTCAAAACCAGAACGACTCATCCGTGAACTGCAGGTCATCAGTGATGTTTCATGAGAAAGTCCTGAGCCACTTGTCCTGGATTGCGCGGTAGTAAGCCAAAAAGGAAGCAATGAGCTCTGACCTTAGGACCTCTTCAGTCATCTTCAGAAGTGCATCAACACTGTCGTAGCTTTCAAGTGGCAGGTTATTCTACCTTTTCAGCAAAGTTGCAAGCTCATGCCTAGAAGAAAACGCGCCTCGTGCACAAGGCTTTTTTCCGACTCGAGAACCTTTATGATGTTAAGCAGCGAGCTCTTAGCTTCATGGATAAAATTCATTTTGATAAGAAGTTCTTGCAAGGACTCAAGGACTGAAGTTGAGATAAGCGCATTCAGCCTTTTGCACCTCTGACCGACTGCGTTATTAAGGCCCGTTCACACTCTTGCGACCTCTTAAACCTGGGTTCCTTAAAACTTCTTAAACCAGAAAACACACTGGCGCCATCTATTGGGAAGCAGTGTAAACTCAGCGGTCCGGCATATTTTTTTTTATTTCTCGCGCATTATCCTTTCTTTCTTGGCTCGAAAAACTTTTGCCAATGTTATAAACGAGCCTTTCTATGGGTATTACGCACATTTGACCTCGGAAATCCCGCAAAACCTTCGCTCTTGTGAAATGCAGTTCCAGGGTCACCGCATAGAGTTAGCAGCAAGGGGGAATTGGCCCTCTTAAATCTAAACGAGTCCACTGCTTCTCGAGATGCCGAACTCAAGGCTATTCTTATGGCAGTTGAACACTCGGACCCTCAAGAAGAATGCCTCGTCTACACGGACTCTAAGGCCGCATACGAAGAATGCAGGAACCCATCCACTTCCAACAAGACTGCAAAGGCCATCAAAGCAAGCGTCATGAACCGACAAACAAAGCTTAGTGTGAGGTGGATCCCAGGCCACCAAAACATTCCTGGGAACGAGGCAGCACATGCCGCAGCACGGGTCATGCTCTCTTCTCCCTCTTCTGATCCCGGCTATGGTGGCCTCACGTGCTCCTCAGAAAGACAGGACCCTACAGCCGTCAAGGACGATGAGCGGAGAGAGCGCCGAGAGAGGCTCCATGCACTCAGAAAACAGGACTCGTACCCTTTACCGGATGGACCCTACTCCCGATGGGACAGGGTCTGCCTCAGGCGACTACGCACGGGAACCGCCATGGTACGTAAACGTACTGCAATGTACACTTGGAACAAGCAACGACTGAAAAGGTACAACGAAGAGAACTCAGAACCCGCAGACGACATGGACGAAAGTCTTTGCCGACAATGCAAGGTCGTGGCCTCAGAAAATCACGTTTTCTGGGACTGCATAAACATTTTTGAGAAAAAAGAAGAAATTTTACTGACCATTCCCGCGGATCAAAGACCCAAGAGCTTGGCGGAATGGACCAGACCATCCGGCTCACCAAAGCACCGAAAGGAACTATTCGACTCCCTCCTTCGGTTCATTAAGGAGGCTCACCTGACTCACTTCATTTAATCCCCATCCCCCACCCCAGGACAGCACCGACGGCTTAAGCCCAGCTGACCTGGCCCTGATGTTTCTTTTATTTTATTATTATTAAAGACATTTTCAAACAATGTCAGTGTGTTCCCTCATTCTAAAAACATTTAAGAAGTTTTAAGAGATCTCGTCTCTCTCAGTCGTACTCGGTCGCAAGAGCGTGAACGGGCCTTTACTCTTCAGAAAAGACAGAATTGGGCGCCAGTAATGTGAAACATAAGCGAGTGCCTCGTAAATGAAAAACCACCGTGAAGGGCTAACCGTGGACAGGCACTTTGATTCAAGATTCATAGATTGACAAAGAATATAGATCTTATGCAGTAACTCTCGCAAATTCGAAGGAGGGCAGGGAAGTGGACGACAAAGTCCTGTACAACGTCAAACTCAACCAGTGTTATGTCCTTGGCGAGCGTGATGTTCAGGAGATGGCACGGGTCTTTGAAGTGCAGTGCCATGAAGTCGGCATGGGATATTTGGATGTCTCTGCAGCTTGTGCATGTATGATGCCGAGTCCGAGGAAATTATGCACACATCACGAAAACTCCTGCCTAATTTTCCCAAGAACGTCTTAAACAAGCACCCCAATGGTGATGGCATTGCACTGCTGGAGGACTTGGAGATCTGCCACAAAGGCCCTTCGTTGGAGAAGCTCACAATCAAACAGTGTCAAAAGTACTGCAATCACTGGTTGGTCACAGAGCTCAGGTGTCTCATCGATAGTGAGGGAAATCAGACGATACTCAGTTCCCGCATTACACACAACTCTTGTAAATACATCGGGGTAAGTTCTTGACGGTACATCATCTGTGCAGAGGGCATTGTGTGAGCAGTGGGGCATATACTTCGGAAGAAGTCTCCAAGGGAGGTCCGTAAGAGGAACGCCAGCCTTGCAAAATCTGTGCCGCGTCGGCAACCTCATCCTTCCCCGAGACTCACGTGATGCACTCTTCCATAGAGCTCTGGCTGGACTTCTGAGGATTGCCGGCTAACATAATAGAAAAAAGTTTAAATTATAGAAGCATTCAAAGATACGACGGTCATTCCTCCAGAGTAGAATGCTGCTTAGCTTTCTCACTCTAAATCAAATAAAGACGTGGTAAGAAAAAAGTATTTGCACGCATCAAGACAAGGTTTTTTGAGCTGGATGTGACACTTCATCAACATGTGCTCCGTGATCATTGTAGCGCCTTTCCCATCTTTTACACTGACCGTGATTTGGCAGTACTTGCACACCATGGACAAAGGGTTGGTACACACGTCAACATCGTCTAACTCCTTAGCGTAATCATCCGGAGCTTTACGCTTTCTTCCCATCCTGATGACTTCTATCTGGTTTGTGTGCTGCAAAACTTGAAATGGTATTTTCTAAGTAATTTCTCCAACAAAAAGGGAAGGTTTCCCTCCTTTCTTTCCCTGCACTAAACCAATGGCAATCACTGTTCTCTTGTTCTAACTGGAATAGGACAAGGGCATTTAGACTGTTCTCACCTCAAGAGAACAAGGGTACTGG